GTAGCTTAAACTTAAGCTACACCAAGCAAAAAAGTATGGAGAATTACGCTGTGCGTCTTTCTTCTACTGTATGCGATTCATCGACCACAATCGCGGACACCGTTCGATGTATTGCGCCGGAGTGCGTTATTCTGTAACACCGAGTAATAGAGAATCTATAGTACTTTTTAGAGGGGAAATTGTGATCATACAGGTTTTCGATGAGGATATTTCTTCTTTGGCCATAGCAAAGACAGTAAAGATCATGCTCTTGCCAAATCTTGTTGACAAAATTTCCGTGACATCTCTCCTTTGAAGAAGACTGTAAATGGCCTCAAGGCTCCCCTCTTTAGGCTTCAAGACGATATGATTTAAAGCACAAAGCTTGTGGGTTCGTGTGAAAATGATTACAAATGGATAAAACTATATAAAAAAATAAGAATAACATTACTTACAAAATACAACTACAATTATAAAAACTCTAGAAATATACAGTAAGATTCTAACCCAAAAAAATACAAGGTTAAAATGAATTTACATTAGTTACCTCTAAGTAAATTGACTGCAGCATTTAAAACATAAAAATAATTAAAAGCATTTAAAATCTTGGTAGTGCCTGGGCAGCGACTGGACCGACTGTGCGCTAAAATCAAGTTCCTTAAAATAACAGTCCTTCTTCACTTTGCGATTAAAAAACAGTAAACTGGTCTGTAAAATGACTCGAGACAGCGTTCCAAAGAATAGCGCTTCTATAGCTAATAGAGTTTTTAAGAAACTGCGAGTTAAAACGGGGGACGATTATGTTATTACTCCTTCTGACGTTGTATATGCAGTGTAGGGTTTATTTGTCAAGTATGAAAGAGCCGTAGGTGCTTCACCAATAAACACGCTATGGAGTAGTTTAATTCATCGAAGTTTATAATAGAGGGTTAAAGTATTCCAGTTCGAATGTTCGTAAACTTCCTCAGTAGGCATATCTTGGGGCAATTTGTATATTATTCTGGCTGCCCTACGGTGAAGTACTTCCAGAGAATGTAGAAGGTCCGCATTAGGGCAGCCGCCCCAAACGACTAGTCTATATAGAACTGACGGTAACATTATCTTGAAGTACAAGTCTAATAGGGCGTTTCTGCTCAAGAACGAACTCCTTTTCAGGAGGTTCAGTTTGTTTACGAAATCCTTTTTACATCTGTAAGGTGATGTGACCAGGAAAGCCTGATAGTAACGCCCAAAAGATGAGAGTGTTTCACCCACTCGATCCGATCCTCTCCAATAGTCACAGAATTTCGCGGACCGATGTGCGGTTTTCTCATCAACAGCATAGCTTCGCACTTGCCGGGTGAGGGGTTAAAGAGTTCTCTAGGCACTAACTGTTCAGTGAGTTGGAAGAAATGACCTGAGTGACCAACGGTTCAGTGAGTTATAATTAGAAAAAATGACCTGTACCAGGAGCCCATAAGAAATGAGTTATAGGCTCCTGGTTGTACTGCTTGCGTTACAATAACGACAATTTTACGCGCCGCTTGTTTGTGACTGCAGGCAATATTGGTGCAAAGGACATAATCTACAGTATTCGTAGAGTGGTGTTTATTTATTTACATTTTTGTCGTGCTGATGTAGATTCGCTAAACTGCCTTCGTGAAAAACATGGAAAAGGCTATCGTTTTAACAACTGTGCTGTTGGTTAGTTTCTGTCCATACGAAACTGAGCAATTCGAAGCCAATCGCTTTGGTACTAAAACAGCTTATCAATTCAATTCCTCGGTTGTGAATTCCTCGCCGATGACGCCTAAAAATTGTTATCCAGTTCATCTAAACATGTTAATACGTCACGGCTCAAGATATCCAAGTGATGGAGACAGAGAAGACATCGACGAACTTCTAACTAAACTGAACGAGACTTACACTTCGAGTTCTCCTTTCCAGTATCAAAACCTGACGATACCTTGGAGAAAACCGCCTGATTGGAGTAACGCTGAACCAAGCGAGTTATCCGTGACGGGAGAAAATGAGCAATACAACATCGCGAAAAGATTTCGCTCTCGTTTTATGCAAGTCTTTGTCAAAGAGTATTGGAACAGGTATTATAAATTCGTTTCATCAGACAAGCTTCGAACCGCCCAAAGTGCCATGTCATTCGCCTATGGACTCTTTGAGGGCCAAGGACCTGTGGGCTCGTCAAAATTTCAACCCGTTGCTATCTCCTTTACCGGCCGCGAAAACAACGACAAATTGCTTTCATCTGACGATTCTTGTCCAAGATATGAAGTTGATGTCAAAGAATATGGAGTGACCGAGGTGGAAAATTTCATGAAAGGTCCTGAGATCCAAAACGTGATGAGGCGACTTGAACAAAAGCTTCAGTTATCGGGGAGGTTGTCTCTAACCTTCGACATGGTGGAGAAGATATACAGGCTTTGTGCATTTGGGATCATGAATCGTGGGGATAATACCTGGTGTGCTTTGCTTGACGATGAAGACGTAAGAATATTGGAGTATCAAGGAGATCTGGAAGCTTATTACGAGCATTCCTATGGAAATGAGTTGAGTTATAAGATACTTTGCCCTCTTCTATCAGAAATGACAAAACAACTGCAAGATTTCTCCAAGGGGAAAAGTGATGTTCATGGTGTGTTCAGATTTGCTTCTTCGGGCTCCTTAATACCGCTTCTTACAATCTTTGGCCTCTACAAAGATTCTCTGCCTTTACGAGCGGACAACTACCTCCAGCAAAGCCAACGACAATTCCGGATTTCAAATATGGTGACGATGTCGGCCAATATTGCCCTTGTGTTGTACGAGTGTAACTCAACAGAAAACGAGGTAAAACGCGAGCACAAGGTACAACTGTTGGTGAATGAGATGGCAGTTGGTCTTCCCTGTTGCCATGGAAACACGACCTGTACCCTTGACAGGTTTGTGTCTTGTTTTGAGGAAACTGTGAAGAGCTGTGATTTTGACGCCATGTGTTCCTTGCCCCCTTCTGGAAAGCCAAAGGCCTTAGCTCCGATATTTTATAATCGTTTGGACCTGATGTTATTAGCATTAGTAATGCCCCTTGTTTTTGAGAACATGATACCTTAAAATTACCGTTAATATTACCCCAGAAACTACACAAGACATGCACAGCAATAACGTTAGCCTGCGTAGCATTCGTTTCCTATCCTCTCTGGGGACTCCGCAATAAAATAGCTTCAAACTCTATTACGCGCGCTATCCTGTACGTGTATTCAGCTAACTCAATGTTGTACCCAGTTCAAATCTCCCGCGGTTAAGATTTTTGTGTTCCGTATTCGCATCATAATGTGACATTCACATTTAAATGGTATGGAAATTCCTGAAACAAAACGGTTTATTCCCAAAGGGTTTGAATTGAGTACAACATTGAGTTAGCCGAATAGGTCCATTGTGGGTTTTCCAATAGCGTGCTCAGTCGTTTCGGTGTTTCGTACACTTCGTTACGCACTCCTCCCACCTTCGGCAGGGATGAACTCAATCTCTACAAGGAGCTCCCCACTCCCACCGCCTTGGGCTGAATGGCCCCAGTGAGAATATAACACTTAAGGCAAACAAATTTTCATGATAGTTTGCTCAAATTCACCCTCCATTGAGCAAATTATCATGAAAATTCGGTTGAGCATGAAGGACAACAACAACTAACTGCAGAGTAAGTTTCATTGATCGTTATTTAGTATTTCCTAAAAATTTTAGGATCGTATTTTTACCCCATACCAATACCAACCTCGTTCCCAGGGTCTCTCATCTTCCCGCCCAAGCGAGAGAGGAGAGAGGTCTCTCCTCTCTCGCTTAGGCGGGAAGATGAGAGACCCTGGGAACGAGGTTGTACCAATACTGTAATTTATTTTACTAGAACTGTCCTGTGGTACTATCACAGAGCCTGGGTTACCTGTGGCTTGTATAATACATATAAATCAGCCTGTTATTCACAAGATAAAAATAATAATCATTATATAAATCAAAATAATTCTTTTAGTATTAGTTTTGTTGCTTCTGGGTATTAATTAATAGTTAACAATAAACAAATACAAATTAAAGACATATAATTCAATGACAATAGATGTTAATACAAACTTATCTGAATTTTTCCTCCAACTTTCTTGGCTACTCCAGAATGAAGTATTAGGGTGCAGAAACAGACCCGAACAGTAAAATCATAGGAGCTGTTCTGTTAATTTGCAGATTGCATTACGTGACTTAAATCAAAACCACTGTTTCTACCACACATCCAATGACTGGCTTAAGTTTTTCATTTCCTTCACCATTCTTTTACATGTTGCGTGAAAATAGCTCTGCTATCAGAGAGGTAGTGTGGTAAAGAAATTTTTATTATAGAAATGCATGTCAAGAAACATTTGCAACTTTAGTAAAGAAAAGAACACTGTAGCCCAAATGTGTCCTGCAATGTTATTGTTTGCGGAATCATTGCTGGGGATGCGCTGGTCAGTTTTTGACCAATTTGTTTTCCCTGTCACTAGTAACAGTCCAGAAGAATTGTCCAGAAATCTTTGTGAAAGTTAACTCGTCCCAGTTCTCCTCTCATTTCTTAAGTGGCAAATTTATCGAAAATTTATAGATCCCTCTGCATGCAAGGTATCTTTATCTTCTACAATAATATTTTTCCAATTTCCTGTTCTAACAAACATGAAGCGAATTGAGGTATTGTTTGCTTTTAGTATGGTCAGTTTGACATGCATCACATGTGTAAATCATGTATGAAACAGTGAGTAGCTTCTATGATAGAGGTTACAGCTTGAAAATGTATTAGTAAGTGCTGTAGTTGGCAAATTGTGCCACAAAAAATCAAGCGTCACAACAAAAAAGTAATCTAATGTACAATAAAGTTGAAGGAGTTGCTGAGATTGATTGTTTTGATATGATCCTTCCTGCTTTCTTATGTAACTCATGTTGTTCTTATGCTAATGCAACCATTACTTTTGTTCAGGATGAGTTTCATAAGAAAAGCAGGAAGGTTTGTTTCTTAAAATGGAAAATCTCACCCTAACATTTACTCCAAGCTAGGTTACTAAGCACCACTGAAAAACAGCTTATAGTTTCACAAGTGGTTATATCAAGACACCAATAAGCAGCAGAGGTTTCTCTCTTCCATGGCTTTTAGCATTTACGAAGTCGTTCGCTTGGCTTGTCTGTCGGGTAGTTTTTTACGCTAAAAGGCCATGTGAGAGAGAAACCTCTGCTCGCAGGGTACAGTCAAATAACATAAAAACATCTGAGAAAATGAAATGCCTGTTGCTCTTGTCACAATATATCCTCCTCAATGTTCAGGAAAGAGTACAATAAATACGCCTGTAAGTTCACTGGTAACGGAAGATCTTTAATCTGGTTTGGAGGAACCAACTTGTTTATTGCCAGTCGGCACATATGCTGCAATTCAAACTTTAAAGGCAGCTGCCAAATCCGAACAAAGCCATCATTTTGTCCGACTGCTAGTTCCTGACAGCTCCTTGTAAAAGCAACAGAGCAGACAGCTCTAATATCTGACTCTCCAGAAATAGTTTCCTGTGCAATATTATGACTGGTAACTAACTGATACAAAGTCTGGAAGATTTCTGTTTCTGTGATAATGACCATGCCTTGAGATGTGCCAAAAGCTGCTAATGATCCATCAGGGCTGTACGAGAATGCTGTCAACCGGTCTGCATTTTGTACAAGCTGTAATTCTCTAGTACATTTGGCTTGTCCATCTTCAAAGAACCAAACCTGGAACAGACCATCCTCAAAACATGCTGCTAGTTTTTGATGTGGATATCCCGGATCGAATGCACAAGTACAAGGATTACCTGCAACAATGTCTGTCCTTATTGCAGAAAACAATTCTAAATTCTCACTTTTTAAAACGTACAGCTGGCTCAGTGAACTGGATATGGCAAGAAGAGTGCTATCAGCTGAAAAAACACAACTTGCCAGATGACCTGTAAACCGAGGCAATACCACTTCACAGCTCACACGCCAATAACTCTTTAGCCTTTTCTTGGAAATCACTTGCCACAGGCATATTTCATTTGTTTCTCTGCCTCGGTGATTCTCTAAAGTAACATTACTAACTGTTACAGCCTTGAAACCGTCTGGAGAGAAAACACAGCATAAAGCTCTTGAAAGCAGACTTCTATCCCCATAACCAGCCGTATCGCAGTCTATTTTCAAAGGCTCAAGGCTACAATCTGGGCCGAGCTCAGCCAAAATTATATGCCCGTTCCCTGTGTTTAAAATATACGACACGATTTCTCCATTTGGAGAAAAACAACACACAGGACGCGGTGAATACGTAAACAGGCTATCGTCTTGCGTTTCTTGAGTCTGCTCAAGATCCCAACATTGAAAAAACCCTGCTCGAAAGTTCCTAAGAGGAAGCCCTGCGAAGGTTGTAAGAGTCACTAAACTTCTGTCATCGTTCGGCGGAAAAGCACAAGCTGTGACCTTCATTACTTGATTCAGTCCTAAAGGTCCCGAATGCTTGATCTGTTTAAGGACGGTTAACGGCGGAGGGATGAGTTTGCCATCAGCTTGAAATGGACGGTAAGGGAAATTGCAAAGATTCAACGGGCTCTGCTCGGGCGTCTCTTTCGGTTTGCAGGAATCTAATCCCATTGTATCCCAGCCACTGATCATGCAGTTACTCTGTTTACTTAAGCAACAGAAATTGTCTCCAACTAGATTGAGGAACTCATTGGAAGATCATCTCCCTCGCTATTCCTTTCCATTTTCGACAATCAGCAAGTCGCCATTGTCGCCATAATGCATTGCATGTTTGTCTCGTCCCCAGATTTCCTCGGTTGTATCACGACTCTCATACCCAGGGGACGACGGTAGCTCGTACCAATTTTAAGTTTTTTGACGGTTTAAACTTTGAAAGGAAAGAACAAAAAAACAACCCAAAGCAATAGCAGCACTTTGCTGCTTCAAACTAATGAGTGCTTGAATTAAAGAGCGGTTACCATGGCAACTTAAGGATCAATTTTTCTTTATTGTTGAGCTTCAACATTCTTTCTTTTTTCTTTATCGGAGCCAAGTATGAATTTTAGTACATCGAAATTGGTCTGCTACACACAAAATAAACCAAAAGGGCTTCCTAATAAGCAACTTTATTACACAATTTCAATTTGGCATTCGATTTAAGTCTAAAAAGAACAAAGATTATTCTGTACAAAATATAGTAATAGAAACTTTTTTTTTTTCATTTATTTCACATTCAACACCGAACCCAAAAAATTTAGCAAACTTTAAAAATAAAGCTTCATTTGATTTCAATTCTGTACATGTATTTAGCCCCTGTTATTAGAGCACGTTTCATCATCCTTGAGAATGAAAAGTGGAACCTTAACTTTATCAGTGGAAACTGCGAGTTTCATTCACGAGTTTTCACAAGAATTCCCCAGTTGTAAGCTATTCACCGCGATATCTGTGCCATCTTGATTTTATCGAGAGAGGGGTACGAATGAAACTTGTGTCAAATGAGACAAGTTCTTTGGTAAATTGGAAAGACCCATTGTATAAGAGTTTAGGTCATTTTCAATTTGTCCCCAGACTCATTTTCATAACGAGGCTATGGCCTGTGTCTATTTTTTGAGGGGAGGGGGCGGCCGTATGCAGGCTACGAGGCTAGTCCTGTTTACTTCTTAGATATTGATCATTTTGGGGTGGACTTGGTCGATGATGTGTCGCATTGCACCATGGGACACGTCTGGGATCCGGTGTCCAGTATAACGTGATAATAGCCAACAAAAATGAGATGACCACCCCAAAACAGACCCACAATGCAATTGGACGCAGTCCACGCGCAACCTAAAATGGCCAATGAAAATAACCTTCCCTTCTCACGCGAATAAAACTCGTCTTAACCAAAATTCTTTTTCACTTGGCCTTAATTACAAAGCGAGGATTTTTACAACTCGGAAATAGCCTCTTGCGCAATGTTGCTTCGATCATTTGCATTACGTCACTTGGTGATCTACCCTTTTTTATCTCGTATCCAGATCACACTTTTCTTAGCTGAAAATTGGGGAGATCTGGATAGGAGATTAATTTTCATCAAGATGTTATTAAAAGGATTATCGTTGCGATTGCGTTTTTCTTTTCGACAGATTAATTCCACAGTTATTTTTTGGCTTTTTGCTATCTTTTAGAGTCAGCGTTGTGGCTGTGTTTCCTCTGCAGCGCTTGTTTTCTTTCCTGGGCCTCTCTCTTTTTAGCATCCTGGTTAAGATATTTGTTGCAGATCTCCACCATCTTGCTCTGTCCCGAGTTCAGCGCCACCTCAGCGATCTCCCGTATGGCCTCCACGCGGTCTCGCTTGACGGCGATCAGATAAGCTGATTTGAGCTTGCCGCACATGACAAACGCGTTTATCTAAAGGAAATAAAGATATTTTTGACAATTACTCTTTTTTAAAGGTGTTAAATAAAAGAAGATCCTAGGTTTTACCTGGTTCGTGTCGCTCTTGAGAAGTTTAATAAGTCCTTCAAGGTTCTTCGCCTGTTGCAATGTTAATTATGAAAGAAAAAAGAAGAATTAAAAAAGAAAAACCACTACTTGCGTATTCATGATTTGTTAATAAAAGTAGCCGTCGGATTCAATACGAATCCTCACTTCAAAGAAGAACAATTACTAAAGTATAGGGGAAAAGTTAATTTTGCAGATTTTTTTATGTCTTATAGAAACGTTTTCATTGCCGGTAAAAAAAAAACTCTGTTTTTCCTTGCTGTAAATTAAGTAATTTCCGCAGTTCTCAGAAACTATATAAACTGTTTCTGTGCTCAGCGAGGAAGCTGTGCTGACTGAAACTGTAAAGTTAATCTAAGTCAGTCCGTCCAGCTTATTATTTAGCCTGCGAGGTGGGTGTAGGACAAGTGACAGAGGAGAACGATCAGGCGCAACAACCCGAGGGGGTGAACCAGCGTGCTCTCTATTGTGCCCTTTACGTTAAATAACTCTTTCCCTTCCCCACTCCAACTCCATACACGCAGAATATTGATTGCTGCGAAAACACCGAACCCAAAAATTGAAAAAAAAAATCGAAAACATGTAGAGCCACACTGTGATGAAGACTCCCAAACAAGATCTGAACGCACCTGGCTCTGGTCAGCGCATACAATGCTGACGCATGCCAGTATGATGTCATCATGGCACTTCTCTGAGACTTGTCCAGTTTCTCCTGAGCAACTTAGAAGCTCTTCAATATGCGAGAACTTGTACTGCCGCGCCAAAGAGCGGCCAACGTCTACATAAACACGTGCTGCTGGTAGATTATAATCCTATACAAAAGAAAAGAACTGTATTGCTATTCAATGATTGTGTATTTCATGGTGTACCGAATACTGTTCACTGCTAATGCAAAAGCTCTGTTTGGCTAGGGTTGCCAGGGTGACTATTGTGGCTTGGGTGAATTGGGTGACTCGAGTGAAGAGGGTGAAAACAATGACTTGGGTAACAAGAGAGACTAGGATGAATTGGGTGACTCGAGTAAAGAGGGTGAAAAGAATGACTTGGGTGACAAGAGAGACTAGGATGACTAGGGTGACTTGGGTGACTTGGGTGACTTGGGTGACTAGGGTGATTAGGGTGACTTGGGTGACTAGGGTGACTTGGGTGACTTGGGTGACTTGGGTGACTAGGGTGACTTGGGTGACTAGGGTGACTTGGGTGACTAGGGTGACTTGGGTGACTAGGGTGACTTGGGTGACTAGGGTGACTTGGGTGACTAGGGTGACTTGGGTGACTAGGGTGACTTGGGTGACTAGGGTGACTTGGGTGACTAGGGTGACTTGGGTGACTAGGGTGACTTGGGTGACTAGGGTGACTTGGGTGACTAGGGTGACTTGGGTGACTAGGGTGACTTGGGTGACTAGGGTGACTTGGGTGACTAGGGTGACTTGGGTGACTAGGGTGACTTGGGTGACTAGGGTGACTTGGGTGACTAGGGTGACTTGGGTGACTAGGGTGACTTGGGTGACTAGGGTGACTAGGGTGACTTGGGTGACTTGGGTGACTAGGGTGACTAGGGTGACTAGGGTGACTTGGGTGACTTGGGTGACTAGGGTGACTAGGGTGACTAGGGTGACTTGGGTGACTTGGGTGACTAGGGTGACTTGGGTGACTAGGGTGACTTGGGTGACTAGGGTGACTAGGGTGACTAGGGTGACTTGGGTGACTAGGGTGACTAGGGTGACTTGGGTGACTTGGGTGACTAGGGTGACTAGGGTGACTAGGGTGACTTGGGTAACTAGGGTGACTAGGGTGACTACGCTGACTTGGGTGACTAGGGTGACTAGTACTAGGGTGACTTGGGTGACAACAGTGACAAGGATGACTAGGTTGACTTGGGTGACTTGAGTGACTAGGGTGACTTGGGTGACTAGGGTGATTTGGGTGACTTGGGTGACTAGGATGACTAGGGTGACTAAGGTGACTTGTTTGACTAGGGTGACTGGGGTGACTTGGGTGACTAGGGTGACTGGGGTGACTGGAGTGACTAGGGTGATTTGGGTGACTTGGGTGACTAAGGTGACTAGAGTGACTGGGGTGACTTGGGTGACTAGGGTGACTAGGGTTACAAGGATGACTTGGGTGACTAGGGTGACTATGGTGACTAGGGTGACTAGAGTGACTAGGGTGACTGGGGTGACTAGGGTGACTTAGGTGACAAGGGTTACTAGGGCGACTTGGGTGAGTTAGGTGACAAGGGTGACTAGGGTGACTTGGGTGAGTTGGTGATAGAGGACAAGATAGAGAACATTATGGATTACAGCGAAATTCGTTGTATCCTGCTGCGGGCTTTGCAGAATTCGAAGGAAGTTTGGGTTTTTCTGTTCCGTCAATCATCCTAGCGACCTCTTAGGAAACATACGTCTACTTGGTTTTGGTTTGTGACTTGTGATTGGTAGATTTCAATCCGTTTTCTTTGTTTCGTGTTTCAAGGTTCGTTGCTTTGCAATTGTCCTGTTTCGGACTAGAATCGACCAGTCAAGTTTGCTTCGAAGATTTTTTTTCTTATCTTTCTTACTCGTGTCACTTGCCAGAATAAAGCAACGTCTACCTCCTTCCTTCGACAAAACATCCACTCACCATCGGGATTACCTTCGCTATTTCTGAACAATCTGGAGTTATTCTCAGCCAGGCTGAGCGAGCACCCTACACTGTGATTTGCATTAACCCCGCCTTCACTCAAATGATTGACGGAACAGAAAAACTCAAAATCCCTTAGAAGTTTGCAATACGCGCAGCGCAAAAGAACGAATTTCGCTGTAAGACTGTCTCCAACACCGGCTAAGTTTTATCGAGTTCATTCTGACTAGCGAACTACGAAAAAACATTGAAAAATATTGAGTACACCTTGAAGACAAGTTAGCAAAACAAGAAACATAGAGGATAAGAGCGCTAAAGGAGGGAATATACCTGAATAAGAACAAATCCTTCAACAGTTGAGTGCCATAAGGAAAGTTTTTCGCTTTGCGTTATTGTATAAAACAAATAGATTACCTCTTGCCGTGACTGTTCATTTTTATATCAGAAGAATAACAACAATTGAATTGGTGTCAAACCTGTATTATTCGGCTTGCTAAAATAAATCCATCATGAATAGACACCCCTGCAAGCAGAACCTAAACAAACAAACGAAAGGGAATAGAGTTAATTCACAGCCTACTAGCATTCATATTTGCTAGTTTGGTAATTCTTAGTATTGTATCAAGTACCAAAAATCATGAAACTTTCGGCCAGTCTGATAAATTCCGTATTTACCTGCACCACCAACTCTCCTCTGACATGTCCATTTCCAAACAAGGTGGGTAGGCGACTTCCGTCGCTCGCTCTCAGCAAGCCAGTACCCCCACGTTCTACTGCACACTTGTGCATAAAGTTTGTGACTTCGATCTGTAAGTTGATAGTATTGGCGTGACTGTTCAGCTCTGAAAGTGACATGGTCACGTGCGAGGGTTCCTCCGTGGCATTCTTTGCGCTAGCCGTGCCGCGTTGTCGTAGATAAGCGAACACAGTATTCACCGTTCCCTTGGGAGATTTTTTCTCCGCGATCACGGTCTCGATATGGCGTTTCGCTTCCTCCAAGTGGTGGAGTCGGGCGAAAAGGTCCTCGTATGATGTCACTGGACCTCCGGCCGCGCCCTCGTAAAAACGGATGCAAGTCTGTGCGGCGCGGAAAAAGTCCTGAAAATAATAGTTTCCCTATAATTTAATAAATCTGAATGTGTAATAAATACCCTGTGGCCGAATCAGTTCTTATGAATAAGGATGTATAAAGACAAAGTATTGGCGATGATGGCGCTTTTACTCGTGCGCTGATAGGTCGAGAGCTACGGTCTATGGGAGTATAGAGCATGGAAATGTTGCGATGATGGCGCTGTCTTCCGAGCATGATTTTCAAGCAATTTCAATCGAATGGACGATAAAATCTGTCAAGGTTACAGTAAAAAACAAATAGGCAGCAATTGTCTCAGTATAGTCTACGCTCTTATAGATCATAGAAATCACGTACAAAAAGGTTGAGAAGTTTGGAGTAAAACCAATCGCTGCGTCTCGTGGTTCCACTAAAACGGTTTGGCGTCATTTCTATGGTCTTCAAGAGTGTAGACCATAGAAAATTACTTTCTCTTTTTGTTAACTAGTCCGCAACATAGAGACACTGGCGCAGTCACCCTTCCCCCAGTTAGCGATAACAGTGAACCTAAATCCAGATTCTCATTCTCCACCACCCCTACCTATTAAGGCTTATTGAACAAACCATCAATGTCTACTTACCCTCATGAACACCTGTACTTCATACAGCTGATGATGAAAACTTCTTCGAAGTAAAAATTTACAAGTGGCAGTCAAGTATGGCATCCAGGACTGTAAAGACGGGTCAGCGGTTTCCATTTGTTCTTTCAGCAGTGACCAACTGCCTTTAAGAACGAGCCGCATGAAGAAACTTTCGATGAAAACTTCCGTGGGGCATTGCTAAGGAGGAAAAAAACAGCAACATCAAGTACTCTGCCGTGTGCTAATTTGTAGTTTAAGGTGATGTTACAAGGGACGATTCGCGGCGATGATTTTCAGCGCAACACAGCGATACAACATTGTTTTTACATTGTTTCGAATGGCTGCAATATTGTTCCAACATTTGAACCCTGTGTTGCGCTAAGAATCGTCGTTGCGAATCGTCCCGTCCTTTACACGAGACGTTTTAGCGAACATCACCTTCAAGTCTGTAAGTAACTAAGTAAAAAAGTAACTAATAAGTAACGATTGAGAGGTAGCACATCCAAATAGTGGTTCTACCTTTCCTGGTCGAATTGGAATTTGGAAATGTTGGTTTTTGAAGAGAGGCAAAAAACCGAAGAACCAGGAGAAAAACCTCTTGGAGTAGAGGAGAGAACCAACAACAAACTCAACCCACACGGCGTCAATGCCGGGATTTGAACCCGGGCCACATTGGTGGCAGGCAAGTGCCGCTCTCACCGCTGCGCCATCCCTTGCTCCCGAAAAAAAGAAAAAAAGCAAAATCATAAAAATAGTGTGACATAGCTGCTTTAAAGAATACAAATATAGATTGAACCGCGGACTTACCTGATCTAGGATGTATCTGCAGGCATGTTTAAAACAACCGTGTCTTACATAAAAGGCCACAAGCGATGAGGGACTGCCGTACGTGTGAAGATAATAGAGGCACTCATCAAAACGCTTAGAGTCAAGGCATGAGTTACCACCTTGGAAACTCTACAACACAAGCACAGAACCAACAGAGACCTTTAGATTCGGGGACGAGAACGACTACGAGTACGAGATTTGATTTAAGTTTTTTCACGTGCTGTCAAAAAATAGACACCCCGAAATTAATCATTGTCCTTTTTTTCACCAGAAAAGTTAGCACTGTTATCGTTACAGACCTTGTCACGGTTTTCGACGCCATCTTGACGAGTAGGCAAACGCGTGAGAAATTACAGTAGCACTACTTACTATTGAGAAAATCTCGTACTCGTAGTCGTTCTCGTCTTAGAATCTATAAAGCGCTCTAATGAAAACTGAACTAGGAAAACACTTACGACGAAGCAATTTCTTCGAGTCTTCTTCCCCTAGATAGTAATGCTTATTGTGATGGTGACAAAAACTCTTGTGATTATCGCGTATAATGTCAAGCGTTTTAAACAGAAGTGAACAAAAAAAAAATAGATAAAACGGAGAAAATCATAACTCACCCTACTGTTTTCCAAAAGACCGTTGAAAGGAGACATAAGATCATCAGTGGACTGCGGATCAAATATTAGCACATTAACAAGGAAACACAGTGAAGAGTGAGAAAAAAATGAAAAAATCTTCAACACTAGACAAGCTGCCACGCCCTAGGTTTCTATTTAGAATAACACATGCATACAGTCACAACGAAAAATATTGTGTTAGTCACTTTGTTTTCACTTTCTTTTAGGGGGAAAACAATCATGCCGGAAAACTCCGAACAGCTGTGATACGCACCTGTTTGTATGCCAGAATAGGTGATGACTGAAGAATATTGATGATCTTCTCCAGGTATTGTGAATTGTGTTGTTGATGCTGTTTTCCTCCTTCCTCGGGCTGCAAAAAGCACATTTTAGTTCACTTTTTTATCACGACTGGACACGTTGAGGGTTAATTAAATGAATAAAAAAAGAGTTAATAAATGAACCCAAGGAACGCATTGATGGATAGGCGCAAAAATGAATGGTTGTTCCCTTTTAACTCGGTTTTTAACATCCAAAGGTGATCAAAGTCAAAATTCAACAAAATTTCTAAAATTTATTTTGCAAAATACGGAAAACCAAATTGTACTACGTCATAGTTATGTCAAAGAGGTTTCATTTGAATGGTTTCACCATAGGATTTCATCCACAGACTCAAAAGTTAGAACTACATACTAAATAAATAGTACCATGTGAAAGAACTTCAGAAGAGGTTTCATTTGAATGGTTTCACCATAGGATTTCATCCACAGACTCAAAAGTCAGAACTACCTTAGAGACACAATCACTCACTCTGGCAATGAACGGTTTGAATGCATGTTAGAAGGAAACGCTATATCAAATCAGTTCTTTTCAGCAAAAAGGCATCAAGGTAGATTGGGCGTTCTTTTACCTTCATACAGCGACTAAACTTCTCTCGAGCTCCAGGAAAATCCCCCGCTTGTAAGAGAGAAAAGGCGGCCGCACCCCACACCCCTGAGGGGTCAAGCCCACACTTGGTAGACACCTCCATGGCAAGAGTGAGACGCTCTGCTTCGATGAAGCGGTCACGGAGACGCCTACAAAGGTAATATAAATATATTACCAGCCTCGAAGATCATCGAAGGTAATCGTTAACCTCTCAAGCTCCAATATCTACATCTACATCTACAACTTTAATCTATAACGGTTCCCATTACATAGATATTGTCAGCTACAGCTCACAGCATTGACAGGAATGGTGGAGCTCTAAAAAGTGCCGCTATGTTGGTAGATGCATCGACATACAAATTCTCCATACTTATCTCCATACAATTCCTTAAAGAAATGATTGAGATAAGTTGATAAAAAAACAAAGCATTTTTCCGTAGTTGATCATTTTATTAATTCTTATAACCCGTTTTCTTGATTTTGTATTGATACTATTAGGAGAAAATTAAAATTGGTCACTCTAAGGAGAGATTCAAAAGATGAATTTTCGAGTGCTAGCCCCCATCAAGAGGAGTGCTTCACATGGACATTCACCATTGCTACTTACCCTCTCCACCCCTCTACCTAACAAAGCTGAACCCTGCCCCTCTCACTGCCTCACCTTGCAGAGTCAGGATGCATGAGGTCACGCAGTGAAGGAATATCTCCACAGTTGGACTCTACAAGAAGCTTCATAAGATCCACGTGACCAAGATACCTGTGACAACAGAACGAGAATAGAGTGTGATTAACGTGACGACTCAAAAGAAATTTCCTACCTAGATTACGAGTAGTCGCCCATTTTTCCTCAGCGATAGTAGAGCGAGCCAAATGCAAGCGCGCGTGAAATACAGTCGGAACATAATTATCGTAAGAGTTTTTTTTAAAAAAATGAAAATTTACCGCCAACAATTATACTAGAGACCTTTTCGACTACCATGACGAGAAAGGTGCATGTGAGCCAGCGTCATTTTGGCTGGAAAACGCGACAGCCGTCGTCATTCTACTACGGGTTGAGGCAAAAATGTCGAAGTGGAGGAAACAAGTTATCAAATGTTAGAAGTTCTATCATTTTTCGATCGAAAGAGTACTTAACCCCTTTCAACAAAAGTAACCTAGCTATATTTTATGGCAAAAAAAGGACAATGAAGCTTCCTGGGGTGTCTAATTTTTTTTGGAATATCTTAAGTTGAATCTCGTCTTCGTTCTCACACCCGAATCAAAAGGTAACTACTGTTTACTTTAGAAAGTGATGAAACTTGGTACATACGTATCGCACAACTCTACGCCTTGAGTCTGTCCTGTCTTCAGCATCTTGAGTTTCGCGTTAAACAGCAGATACCGTATCATACTGACAAAAGAATAATATTATCATTATGATTCCACTCAAACGTTTGGCTAAATGAGCGAGTCTTTAAGCATCTAAGCTCTCGACTACTACTTAAAAAGTCCTGTTCCCAGTGTATTTTTAACTTCTGAGACCCGCTCTAATGCCCTGTTTTACGGAACTAGAAAGACTTAGCAGCTGTATCTTTTAACGAATTTATAAAGATAAGATAAACAATAAGAAGAAGAATCTTGTTTGAAATATATTCAATGAAACAAAAATAAAGAAAATGTAAAGAAAACCCTCACACGACAGACTGAGGAGAGCTCTAAGATTGATTACGGATGCTTCGTCAATGTAGTTTGCCAATCCACTTTGACATCACGCGCTAGAGCTTAGTTTTCCATACTCAAAACTTACCTGATCACAAGATTGTGGTCCAGCTCCTCATTCCTGACTCCTGGGGCCACAGGGACCAACTTTTGAGAGAGTGAGTTACACAGGTCTAGAATGAGCCTACCACAGGCCTTGGTGTCACTGTGAAGGTCCAATATGGATACACACAAGGAAGCACTGGGTGCCTAGTGAGGTAAAACGATCGTTATGGTGGTACTGGTCATCAGAATTCAGTGGAAAACATTGTATTGTCTCGAAAGCAATTATGAATTTCGGTAATTTATAATTAACACGTGCGAGAAGTAACAGGATAAGTTCCTCAACTTGCAAATAAACTGCGCAGGAGTGTGAAGACTTGAGCGGTAGTCTTTACTATCACTGGGATGATTGTACCCAACTCCCCCCAAACAAGAGAGGCTTAAAAAACCAAGCAATCTCTTTTCTAAATATAGAGCTTTGAAGCTCATCGAAAAACGCTACCTGTTCGTAAAAAAACTCTTCCCTGAGTAAAGAGTTATTCTCCTCATCCAAACTTAGTTTCCACAGACAGCGCGCATTCAGGTCCTCAGTGAGCCACTCTGTGGAAGAATTTCCGCCCAGGTAACTGCCAAACGCACTGTTGTTCGCACTCGAATCTGGGTAATCTACAAAGATAACCAGTCAAAAGAAAGAGAAATTATAGATTTGCTAAAACAACAAAGGAGAGGAGACTCCGATGGTGCTTTAAATAGTGGGGTCCTGTCACAAACTTTTGAGTCGTTGTTTGTAACGCGACAGAATTATTTTGAAACTGAAATAAACCTCAAAATACATAATTGAATAAATGGGAAACGACCAAAAAAGGTACAGTTAACTAGAGAGGATTAAGGATGGTGAAAAATGGAGAAGATTAACATGGATTGCAAATTTAAAACAAAAAAATTAAGGATAAATCCACTGAGCAGCCGTGACATAACTTCTTTGAAGCAGCCTAAGATTCAGGTTTTCCCCAACCTACCCGTCCCTTGATATTTCTCTTTTTGCTCATAGTATTTTGAGACCTTACCACTAACTCCATTGTGACGTAAGCAGTCGTCACGTGACATAAATCATGCAATGACTCTTAACAAAGAATGTGTTACCTTGGGAATGACCGGTTTCAAGAGAAACTGGTTCAGAACGAATAGGAGATGAGTATTCGTCACGGAACGGACGGGACCTAACGATAAAGTGACAAAAAAGATAACGTAAATCATTTTGGTAAACGAAGATTACAGAAAGTTAGAGGAGGAAAAGAATTCAAAACATAGGTAAAGTTTATTGATCAAGGCTGTTATTGGTACTCCAGTTGGACCAAGGAAGGTATCAACATTGACCATTTAAGGATGGACGCGAGGTTGGCTAGGTGTTGTGTACAATTGCATCATGGGATTGTATGAGAGACATAGTATATTATTATATATATTATTATATTATAGGATATTCGGCAGCCGGCAAATGACTGCTAAGGTTAGCGACTTTAGGCTATTTCTATTGGGGAAGGAACTCGAGCCCGTTAAGGCTGCAAGAGACGTTGGTGTCACACTGGACTCTAACTTAACATATAATGAGCATATTGTTTCTACTGTATCCTCATGCATGTCACGTTTGGGTCAAATTAACCGCGTTAAATATATTTTTAATAAACACGCGCTAATTATTATTATAAATGCCTTAGTTTTTAGTAAATTATTCTATTGCTCTTCTGTTTGGAGCAATACTACTCAAACTAATCTGGACAAGCTCCAAGCAGTACAGAATTTCGCTTGTCGTATTTTGAGCGGCGCTAAAAAATTCGATCACATAACTCCTTTGCTAAAAGACTTGCGCTGGCTACCAATCAGGCAACAACTTTATTTTCGTTTTGCTGTTCTGGTTTTTAAGTGCATGACGAGTTGTGCTCCGGAGTATTTGACATCAAAGCTCGTTGGAAGATCCGCCGTCTCGACAAGGAATACGAGAAATTCTCAACTTTTGAACATACCACTCTTCCGCACTGCCAGCGGCCAAAGGACCTTTCAATATAGAGCAACCTCTCTCTGGAATGAGTTGCAGCCTGCGCTCAAACTTAGCCCATCCGTGACGGAATTCAAGTGTTTACTCAGGCAAAAGCTTCTTAATGACTGCTTTATTTAATTAATTTAATTAATTTTATTGACCTTTGTCTTCTTTTATCATTGTTATATTCTTATTGTCATGTACTTGGTTTATAATTTTGTAATGTAAAATTGACTCTGAAAAGCCCCGTGGGGACGAGCCAATAAAGTATGTATGTATGTATGTACATTACCGCTGCTTCTTGATTTGCTATGGTAAGGTCGCGTAGGAAAGTAGGTCAAGGTTTGTCTTCCAAAATAGTCCCACAGTACAATAAACACTTAATGACTGGCCGCGAGGGAAACAATTAATTTTGTTTCCCGAAGCCACTCTTTAAGTGATTTGTTATATAGCTGGAAATTTTGAAGCGGGAAATTCATTAAACCTCGCTGTAACGGCGGTCGTCGGTCAACATTCGCGGGTGACAGTGCACTGTTACCCTCTGATGTCAAAAAATGTTGCAATGTTGCCCGCTCAGAGATTTTGGCGGGAATTAGTTTCATTGTGAGCTGTCACGTGACCTCAAAGTAACGAATGAGAGCGCGAGCTCTCTGGAAAAAATTTCCAGCTATAAAACAATAGACCATATTTACGATACCCGCCATCTACCTGCTGGAGTAGAAGTATTCATGACATGTATCACATACTCTCACGGGATTCTTCCCGTATCCCGTGACAACATGATTGTGCTCAGAGCATGTCCCGCAAACAACCCGACCACATCGCCGACAATGATGACGACGGTTGAACTGAAAAGAAGCAAAAACAAACAAGCTTCACTAAGAAATGGCCAAAGATGTGTAAACGTTTTGGTTCAGTTTTAGTAATCCGAAAGTCCGAAGTTCATACAGTCAAAACCCGCTTTACGGACACCCGTTTGATACAACTCATCATTACGAGCAGTTGCTTTGTTCCCGGGGAAAGAAAGCCCTTGCATTTTTTCTAAATTCAACCCGCTTAATACGGACATTTTCTATGTTCGCCTCAGTGTCCGTATTAACGGGGTTTAACTTTATCTCTCTTCTTCCAACGGTTGAGTTCAACCTTGACATGCTGAATAGACTAAAAACTATTCATTTCAATCATTTTCCCTGCTTCAATAATTTTCTCCTATGAACACTGTAGACAAAAAACAGAGGTCATTTGTCTGGTGCCTTTTTTGCCCAACAAAAACAAACAAACAAACATTGAAGACACCGTATAACAATGAAGTCCCTCCTCCAAAGAGTAACAATTGATGAGCATTTTACAGCAAAGACCACAAATTTACTTCCTGTCTTTAAAGCAATCTTACACTGCCAAGTGCAGCCTATATTTCTGACCACCAACCCACGAGACCTTGGAGTAAGACGCACAAAGCGTTCGGGGACCTACCATGCTAAAGATCTCTCTGCAGATGACACACATGGAAACTTGTTGGTCTGGCATCCAGTTCGCTTTCTTAGGAGGAGCAGCTGGTGGAACGAACATCTGCTGACCGCCATGTACTGCAGTCATCTGAGACGTCTTCCTGCCCAGACTCCCTGTGGTGCGCGGTGGAGTAGACTGGCGCTGAGTTTTCTTCTCCTTTTCCAAAGCCAATGTACGTGACTCTGTGGAAATTCTTCTTCGTGGGACGGTTTGGGATTTTCTCTCCAGGCTTCCAACGCCGGACTCACGAGCTCCTCTGTCTTTCACTGGTGTCGAGGTTACGGGTGTGTAGCGCCCAGACTCAGGAAGTGGCGTCATTCTACCGCCCATTGAAGTCGAGGGAGTCGGCGATGAAGAGGGAGTGTGGATCAGACTTTGCATAATGCTGCTGCAAAGTTCTATTGAGACACAACGATTACATCAGCAACGGTTCGCTAGTAAGATGACGTCTTAGTCAACTGAGAGCTGTAATAAGCATTAATTTGAACCACGATCCGAGTGATTGTGGATCATAAACCCTAATCTGAATCATCCCAAAGAAACGCACCTAATTCTCTTAGAAAAGTTGCTTCAAACTACAAATGTCATATGAACGTCAAGAAATACGACCCCACTCTGCTGATACGGCCAACTCGTCAATACGGTTAAAAACTCATGGTCCATAAGTGGTGACAAGTGACCGGGACCGGGATTCCACTGGATATACTGTAGGTACACCGCCGAATCGCGTATCTGTCTATTGTCTTTCATGAATTGTAAGGTGATCGCTTAATTAATGATTTTTTAAATAACAAAGAATAGTGTTAACGATGACTTGAAGGCTTTTGAAACATGTTAAAAGATGACCTTCAAAATTTGCCCAGTCCCTAGGCCTCATTATTCCGCGCGGCCAATGCGTATTGGGTCACGTGCTCTCAGCGATTTATGTCACCGAAATGCACTGACCGAGAAGGAAGGGAAGACGCTACACAGGAACTCGGCAAGTTCGAAATGTCGCTAGAAAAGCGGAGACTAAAATACTATATGGTAAATATAACTCCTTGCTTAACATTTTTTCAAATGTACGAGTACGCATTCCCAAGGTGCCCCAAGCTTCCGTTTCCAAGTGAGGCTAAGCGCGAAGCCATTGATATGATAATGATTTAATGAAATATTCTCATGCAAATAAAACTCATTACCACAAGAGAAATTTTGCACTTAGCCCTGATTTGAAAATGAGGGTTTTTGGATCTCGGAAATGGCCTTTTACCCACCTCTGGTCTGACTTCGCTCTAACTGAACAACCTGAAACTCCAGCGCTTTGGCAGAGTAGGTAGCTAACAGCTCATCAAACGCCTTCACAGTACATCCGTAATCACCTAGACTTTCGACATCTTCCATGCAGCTCAGGTCAACCTGTTATAATCCCAACACATTTTCGATCATTATACGTTTTCTGGGAAACTGCCAACCTACCCCTCCCCTGAGCCAACATCAACTCTTAGTTCTCACTTAGGGCAAAGTTTTTGCTTAGGGGAGGGGTAGCTCAATGAAAAGAGTGCAACACCTGTATCAGAGTGGATTGCAATGGGTTACACGAACCTGGAAACTCTGAAACCACATCGCTGGGTTTACCCGGATTCGTGTGAACGAGGCCTTAAACCATTCAGGAAAGTGCTTTCAAACAGCTGCGGTTTCAGTGAGCGGATTCACTGGTTTCGAGTGGACGAAAGGCTGATTCGCGTAAAAATATATGCGGTTTTAAAAAAATATCTGGATTCGAGTGGAGGGGGACTAACAGTCACATAAGACAAAAAATGCGTTGTTGTAGAGCATGAAAAGCAGTGGAAGGAGAAACGCAACGAGATTACATCATTTCAAAAGCTAATTTCCAGTCCCACCGACTAGATTGCCCTCCCGCCATATTCTTTTTTACTAAGTACCTGTTTATTGAGCAGCGAGGCTATAAGACGAAACTGAACTGACAACTCGATAGAACGAACCTCTATTTAAGTCCTCCGTATAACGAACGGTATTCTTAGCCGTAATTGATTTCTCAAGGGTGCGATCAGTAAGAAATTTAGTGCATTAGTTTTGCACAATTGAGACACTGGAAGATCCAATATGAAAACAAAATAGCGGTCAACATTTGCGGTTAGCAGTGCACCGTGACCTTTTGACGACATAGATTTTCTCATGTTGCTTGCTCAGAAAATTTGGCGGGAAACAGTTTCAACGTCAATTGTCATGTGACCTTGGAGAAGCCAATGAGCGGGGCGCGCTGTCAGGAAATTTGTTAGTACTCTTTTCGTACCTGAATTCGCTGGAACACTTTGGCAGCCCACTCCACTTTCATATTCATAAGCAACTGCTCCAATAGCAGCGGCGGCCTGGACACGAGATGCTCATAATTTGGCCTCGCTGAGACTGGTAAACACAGCAAAGCTTTGGCGCCCATTTTAGTACAAAGTAATCTCTCTGTACGGACTGGAGACAGCGACGAGGATAGATTAGTGAGCATGAACTGAAGTATAAACAGCGTTTGACCGACGTGAAGATTTTGTGAGAGAAGAGAGTCGCAGATAGCGCGAGTCATGTCGTGATCTTGAAGACCTTCCAGTATCCTGTAGGCTTTCATGTGCTCCTCCGGGTTATGAGATAACAGCTGCTTCAGTTGACTTTCCTTGATAGTCTGTTCCAAGAAAAAAAAAATAAAAAGCTGTGAGAGTGAACAAAATCGCCCTAATCGAAAAAGGTCTTAAAGCCGTTCTTCTCAAAACGTACTGAGGTAAAACCAAGGCGAAAAGTGCTATAGCGATGGTCATACCTTCTTTTCGATTTGTATTTCCGCAGTTCACATTATTTTCATTCCACGTTTCATTCTTTCACGGGTTAAGATGAAGCCAACAAATTTACCTGCCCCAACGTATGGGTCTTCATAGTTCAGTTGGTAGAGCACTGCAGCCCTAACGCAGAGGCCATGGTCTCAACCCCGTTAGAGCCCTAACATTGCTTTTCATAAAAAAATTGTTTAAATTGCGATTACGGCTACAATGATAATATCTTCAATAAGAAAGTTTCCAAGTCTACTACCGGTTACAACTAGGGGTTCTTGCAACCAGGGGTTCTTACAACCAGGGGTCTTACAACTAGGGGTTCTTAAAACCAGCGGTTCTTAAAACTAGGGGTCTTACAACGGGTCTTACAACCGGGGGTTCTTACAGCCAGGGATCTTAAAACTAGAGGTTCTTACAACCAGGGGTTCTTATCACCTGGGGTTCTTACCACCAGGGGTTCTTCCAACCAAAGAACCTTACATCCAGGGGTTCTTACAACTAAGGGTTCTTACCAAAAGGAGTTCTTACAACCAGGGGTTTTACAACTAGGCGTTCTTACATCAAAAGGTTCTTAAAACCAGGGGTCTTACAACCAGGGGTTCTTACAACCAAGGGTTTTACAACTAGGCGTTCTTACATCAAAAGGTTCTTAAAACTAGGGGTCTTACAACCAGCGGTTCTTACAAGCAGGGGTTCTTACAAGCAGGGGTCTTACAAGCAGGGGTTCTTACAACCAGGCGTTCTTACAACCAGGGGTTCTTACAACCAGGGATTCTTACAACTAGGGTTCTTACAACCAGGGGTTCTTACAACCAGGGGACCTACAACCAGGGGGTCTTACAACCAGGGGTCTTACATCCAGGGGTTCTTACAACCAGGGGTCTTACAACCAGGGGTCTTACAACCAGGGGTTCTTACAACCAGGGGTCTTACAACCAGGGGTTCTTATAAACCAGGGGTTCTTACAACTAGGGGTCTACCAGGGGTCTTACAACCAGGGGTTCTTACACCAGGGGTTCTTACAACCAGGGGTCTTACAACCAGGGGTTCTTACAACCAGGGGTTCTTACAATCAGGGGTCTTAAAACTAGAGGTTCTTACAACTAGAGGTTCTTACAACCAGGGGTCTTATAACCAGGGGTTCTTCTCACCTGGGGTTCTTACAACCAGGGGTCTTACAACCAGGGGTTCTTACAACAAGGAGTTCTTACAACCAGGGGTCTTACAACCAATGGTCCTTACAACCAGGAATCTTACAACCAGGGGTCTTACAACCAGGCGTTCTTACCACCAGGAGTTCTAACAACCAGGCGTTCTTACATCAAGGGCTCTAACAACCAGGGTTTCTTACAACCAGGGGTTCTTACAACCAGGGGATCTTACAACCAGGGGTTCTTACAACCAGGGGTCTTCAGCCAGAGGTCTTTCAACCAGGGGTTCTTACAACCAGGGGTTCTTACAACCACAGGTTCTTACAACCAGGGGTCTTACAACCAGCCGTTCTTACAACCAGGGGTTCTTACAACCAGGAGTCTTACAACTAGAGGTTCTTACAACTAGAAGTTCTTACAACGAGGGGTCTTACAACCAGGGGTTCTTATCACCTGGGGTTCTTACAACCAGGGGTCTTACAACCAGGGGTTCTTACAACAAGGGGATCTTACAACCAGGGGTCTTACAAGCAGGGGTTCTTACAACCAGGGGTCTTACAACGAGGGGTTCTTACAACCAGGGGTTCTAACAACCAGGGTTCTTACAACCAGGGGTCTTACAACCAGGGCTTCTTACAACCAGGGGTCTTACAACCAGGGGTTCTTACAAGCAGAGGTCTTACAATCAGGGGTTCTTACAACCAGGGGTCTTACAACCAGGGGTTCTTACAACTAGGGGTCTTACAACCAGGGGATTTTACAACCAGGGGTCTTACAACCAGGGGTTGTTACAACCAGGGGTTCTAACAACCAGGGCTTCCTACAACCAACTAACGAGAAATAAAAAAAAGTATTATCCATTCCCTTTAAGGATTTTTTAAGAGGTGAATTACAACGCTGTCTGAGGAGGGACTTTGCGAGGCTCCTTGTGGAGCAGATTACGTGGGCAAGTTAAAGCTTAAGTTTAATCCAATAGATGGTGTCACGAAACATATCAAAATTCGGGTTTTGCCAGGTTCTCAGAAAATCAGCGTAAACTTACCCCCAACCTCACCACCCACTTCTCTGCTTTTTATTCATGCAAACATTCTAAAGGTAACACTGGAAACAAATGTTTCTTACCTTATGAAAATGTTCTGGAAGAACATGAAGTTCGGCCCAATCTGCAGCCAGATCGAACTGCTGTACGGACAGAAGGAATTCCATAACAACCTTCGGTTCTTCTTCAGAAACGGCGGCCACGCCCTGCCAGGTTTTAAGATTGGACTGTGAAGTCTGATCTTGGTCCTTATTGATGACTTGAAACTGTGCAGACTTTGCACACTGAGAAATCTGAGATATAACATGGTCGGATTGTGTTAACATGCGTAAAACTAGAAAATTGTCGATAGCTTTCTGAAATAGTGTGACATTGTTTTTTGTTTTTGTTTTTTATTACTTTGCCATTGCGTTACTAGGAGCTGTCAAGTTAACTATTTTTTGATCGGATTACAGATAATTCGCTTTTACGCTTATTATAGTAAACGAAATGATGTATCAAGTCAATCAACGTTGTCGGTTCTTATCGTGAACAGAAACAATGAACAGATGTTACTGATGTATTTTAGGTTTGCATGCTCACACGATATATTGAAATGTAATCAGCTTTTGTACGGAACGGGTCCTTTATGGAAATACAGTAGATCACTTTCCAAGGAGTTGCATTTGTTACTCATTCTCAACAATAATCAAACATTTTCGTCCAACATTACGCTGGAAGAGCCCGTTCTATTGTTTAGTCGTCTCTCGCCCATGTCATATCTAGAACAAACAAATTTATCCAACATTTTCTTCACGACAAAGCAAGCTAAAAGAGGAAAAACCAATTAGAAACCGCATCTGAATCTGCACAAAGGCAACTGTTTGACGGTTGGTCAACATTTGTTCGATGGTTTAGCCACCTGACGTTTTTTGCGGCAAACATGACGTTGGACGAGAATGTTCGATAGTTTAACCATAGAATTCCAGCTATACCTTTTTAGTCCGCTGAGAGAGTGAGACGGCAAGCTGCCACAATGAGAATGGAAAGAGCAAAAATGCGAAAAAGGAATTGGAGGAGAGACGCGTGCCGCCCGGGTGCATATGAGGGTCCGCGATAGGTTTTTCGGGAGCCGGGATTTTCTTTATTTGAAGCTCGGGATTCGGGATTTGAAAGCAAAATTGGGGCGAGTTTCCGGGATTGAAAGTATGTTTGGGAAGTAAGATGCAGGGAATAACCCTCGGGATTACGGGATTGCAAGAAATTTTGGGTTGGGATTATGGGATTGAAGAACCCTATTGGGAACCCTCGTATATCGCCGGCGTGTCATCCCCGAGGAATCGAAACAGTCTAGTTCAGCTGATCTATTCGACACTTAAGAAACTAAGTAGAAGGGAACTGGCGCCGAAATGCGTCCCGCAAGTGTTTCAGGGATCGTTACTGGGGTAGCCTGTGCCAGGCTCTCAGATAGTATAGTGGGGACGCATTAAAAATAAGACGCGCGCGACTTGGGAAAGGGGGCGGTGGCAGCGGAGGAACCTGCCCTGTCTCTCCCCAGCCCCTGCGCGTTTTTCGCATTTCTTTTTACTGAACGACTTTTCACCACTATCTCGGAGCCTGGAACAGGTTATTATTGCGGACGCACCGGTCAGCTATTGGCCATTTTCTCCCCTGTCCTTAATTACAGTCCCAGAAGTCTTAACGAAAAGTTAACTTGGTCCAGTTTACTCCCTGATTCTAAAGTGGCGAAGAAGGGCAACAATTTTCGGCGTTTCCCTTACCTGCGCAATGATAGTTACCTTTTGATGTAAGACTATCTCTCTTTTCTTCTTCTCTAAGTCGTCTTTGGCGCGTGCGTTTTTAAGCGGACGAGACAAGCACAAATCGATCATGTCAATGCACGTTTTAGCATTCCACTCGTCCAGCTTTCCTAAAACCAGCTGGGCCAAATGATTGTGGTCTTTCATTCTTGCAAGGAGAGTCCATGGTTTTTTATGCACTGAGTGACTGAACTTCAACTCCGGAATTCCAAGTTCATTGAAGACAGTGTTCATTTTTTCACGGAAATCCGATCTCGTTCCTCCTTTGCTCAAAATCGCAGAGCTCAGTAGAAAATCAATACCCGGACCTCCGACGCCATCGCCACGAAGATCCGAGGAACTTATTAACTCTAAGAGATCTTCAAAGTAACCTTTGCGTAAAAAAAAATCGCTAGCTTTGAGGATAGCATTTTGCATAGGCCGGCTTCCCTCAGAAGCTAAAGCCACAGAGAACAGAGAAATTTCCGGGACATGCGTGCCGTCTTGTAGATAATGCAGGTTGGAATCAAGCTTGATGATATCAAAACTGCCACAGCTTCCACCCGATTCTTCTGAATCTACTGGAGCTAATGTTAACATGTCCGCTATCGTGTACAGTTTACAAGCGATGTAGCGCTGAAGAAATCGAAATTGTTTAGTTTCCTCGAGAGCTACTAGAAAAGGAAATTCTATTGGTTCGTCTTTAGAGTCCACATTTTTACTCTTTAAAGTTGCACTTGAGGTCACTGGGCTGTTTTCCGCTACGCTCTGTGATGTTTCGGAAGCAGAGCAAACTAACCTCGCTAACGCCGCGACTAGCGGTGACTTTTCTTTTAAATACTCAAGCGTGGCATCGTTTAAGCTAAACAAGCCTCTCTTTTCGGTTTGTCTTGTTCGGGCAAGAACTGATAGCTCCATGCTCAAGTAAATACTGTCGGGAACAGAGTTGGACCGCTGGAAGACTGAGCTCGAGGAAGACCGCTCGAGCGTAGGGGACTCAAACTTGTAGCCAAACGTCCAACAAAATGGGGTGAAGGTAATTTCAGTGATATTTGGGAGCATTTGCTGTAGCGTTGCAGCGGCTTTATCGTACAGATACGGCTCCATTTGAAGTAAAAGGGACACATCATGTCCGGCCGGAGAGTCTATTGTATTAAAAGATCTTATTTCGAAGTCTTTTCTATACCAGTGAAGGATTTCAGGCAATGTTATCTGTCCTGTCTCCTGGTTGAGTGTTACGCGGGAATTTATGTACGAACGTACAGCGGTTGACAGCTCTGCTTCAAATTCGTCTACATCAAACACCTGAATTTAAAGCAAGACAAAGGTAAATTAAATGAGGTCCTTCTTCGCAGTATTTTGAGAATCGGCATTAGCCATTTCACTTCTATTGACGCGGTTACATTTGAATGGTGATAGAGTAGGATTTTGACCACAGACTCAAAAGAAAGAGCATATTTTTACAGCATCATAAAAGAGTATCATGTGAAAGTACAGTTGAAGAGGTTTCAATTGAGTAGTCGTAACATTGAACAGACCCCACGGACCTAAAGTCAGTTTCTGGGCGCGATCCATTCAACCAAAATTTCCGGAAATTTCGGTCCAAAACTCAATGGATCGGTTCGGTCCAACCGGAAAAGTTTCGAAAAAACTGGTCCACCTTTTGAGGTGGTCCTCTTTTCCCGGTCGGACCGGTCTGAATTTTGGTTGAATGGATCGCGCCCTCTGTTTACACAGCGTAATGAATACTGCCGTCTCGTCTTAAAGTACTGTCGAATAATACGAAAAACAGTGACTGGAAAGCTTTAGGGTGAGTTATTTAAATGGAGTTTAGCCAGTGTTGAACAAAACCGCGTTCTAAGCCATTTTCACTTTGCCGAACGCTTTTATCTAAACACCATTTTTCGTGAACAGTTTCATTATAAAGCACGTAATGTAGACTAGAAAAGCATTTTTCTTCTTAAAAAAACCCACTAAAGAAAAAAACTGGAGGTTCAAAGATTTCCTAAACCGCAATCTAAAGTTAGACTTTGTTTAAATAACCGACCCTTAAAGTCTACCTGAAGGTCCGGCGATGTCAAGCAGCCATCGCAAATGGCAAAGATGATTCGTTTTTCAGCTGCGGTCAGCCTATATTTCCTTTTGACTTCATCAGTTGTTCTCTCTAAAAAGTTGAAACATACCATCATGAATGAACTCTTGGCAAGAACGATTAAACCTCTCAGAGGGCTCCATTTGAAAAGGGGGAACTGGGAGGCACAGCTGTTGCTGATAGATACGCAGACAATCTTGAGTAAAAAAATTTATCACGGTAAACAAAGTTGATTAGTCTCATAAACCTCAGACGTACAAGTGATGGGAAAGGAGGGGAGGGGGAGGGAGATATGAGGAGGAGGAGAGGGGAGGGTAAGGCGATGGTGGAGGCTTTCTCCAATTTATTTCAAATGTGGGTGGGTGTGAATACGCCTAGGACGAAAAGTGTTGTTTGCCGCGTGGCACTCAAAATGTAATAATCAAGAGAATTGTTCCAAGTGGCCAAAATTACTGTGATCAAAACAGATATTTCGGAGTTAATCGATTCTTCAGCGTGCAACTAGATGCAGAATGCTGAATTCAGCGAGTTCATTAAAAAAGTCTCTAACAATTTCACAGTGAAGGGAGAAAGACTAAAATTTCACCTGGAAAGCACATGATGACACCCTCTCCAAACGTGCTTGGCGGCACAAGTCCCTTGTGTAAAATAACGTATTGAAGATCAAACGCACTAGTAACAAAACAAAGACAAAACTAGGATTGCATGGACAGTCAAAGAGGGGTAAAATAGCGCATAAAAATTTCCTAGCATAAAAATCTGACTGGGTTTTTAAAATGGTGCATGCTTTATAATGGCTGTTGCTATGGAGCCACCATAAATCTGGACTGCAACTACCACTTCCTCCGTCTTCTCCTTCCCTTCTCTTCGTTGTGTCTTCGTCCTGCTCTGCCACTGGTGTGATTTTGAGGCTTGTTGGACCCCCGAAACACACGCTTTGTCCTTCAACGGTCTCTGTAATGAGCCAATCTATTTGACCATTCTAGAATTTGGAACTTGAATTTTTTGTTGTTGATCACGTGACATTTCATTTCTTACCTTACCACACCCAGCTGCCCTATAAAGTAACAATGCTGCTTTAGGAACGAAATTCTCTCCAGGGACGTCAAGGGCACATGTTCTCCGCCTTTGCTTTCTCCCCCTGAGGACGTTGATAACGCATCTACGAGCCGAGTGAATGAACCATGTCTGGCAATAGGAGACGATACCTCACTTAAATCATCAACGGACGGGTCAGCAAATTGAATCAGTGAAGCATGCGCTATAAGAAGATTAAGCGTATTGACAAAAAAGGTCACTTTAGCGGCTTCTGAGTTCAGCAGGCCCAAGTTGACGCTTTGAAGTTCGGCCGTGCCACGTGCGATGGCTTGGAACTCTGGAGTCCTTATGGCGTTAGGCGCCGACTTGGCGTCTACAAGACCGCCGTGTGTCTCAGCCACATCTGAAAGAAATCATTTAAAACGTGAGACTGGGTCAGAGTTGTGTCGAATTGCACTATGGGACTTTTTTTGGGAACGCTGTCATTTTTTTCATTGGCTATTACAAAATTGCGCTGAAAACTGGGTCAGAATTCGTCCTTCAAAACAATCCCATATAGCCTGCGAGCAAGCTCTCCTATTTGGGCGAGTGAAGCGAGTCTCGCGAGAACGCGCGAGCGAGCGGCGAAGCCGCGAGGGGCCGGCGAGGGGCGAGGCTCACTTCGCTTACCCAAATGGGAGAGCTTGCTCGCAGGCTAAATCCCATAGTGCAATTTGACACGACAAAGACCCAGTCTCAAGTACAACATCACACAATGGTCAGTAAGCTATTTTGAAACTACTTTTCCAGTGCGAAAGCTTTAGACAAACTAAATACCACCACAATCAAACTTTTTTCCAGAGGTGCGCTTTTAATGACAAAGGAATTCACTTCCCTTAGGGTTGAAAATTGGATAGAGATGAAAAACCTACTCAACGCAAATATGATTTCATTTTTCCTCAAATTACATGTTGCATTGATGCAGATGCTTTGTTCAGTCTCTAGGGGACAATGTACACATTTGCTAGAACAATCAAATGATTTCTTTTTTTCTTCCTTTTGGGAAGTTATGCTTGAAATGTTTGGCATAGCAGCAAGGAAAAGCCAGTTGATGAACTGATATTTTATCGCTTTTAATCAAGAAGAAAATTAACTCATATTAATCTTTCAAGGAGGTTCTTTAACGAGTTTTCATGCCTGTGAAAAACTGAAAACAGCTCACCTAACGACACTCATATCTTTTCATGGACCATGTAATGAATAATTATTACTGGATAGTGTAACAAATAATTATTATAATTATAATTATAATTATTATTAAAATTTATTACCTTTAAGCATTTTAATCATACGTGACAACAAATCCTTAGCCACAGTATTGGGGTCTCGAACACTCTCCGTCCATCTGCTGCCGGAATTCAAGATAACAGGATCAGAGGAAGGCCACCGAACATCTATCAACAAGAGAAAAATCTTAAAATAATAGACGGTACAGCGCAGGTTAGACAACTCCCTTCACAAGTCAACTGGTTTTGGTTTACAGCAGTTTTCCGTTGTACTATAAAGCCAGACTAATTACTCAGGTCAGTAACAACATAAGTTGAAACAAACATAACTCAAAGCAACACCGCGTGGCGGCTGCCAATGACGGGAAAACGGGTGTAAGCAAGCTATGATTGGTTGGGAAAATGGAGCGAGAGTTCTGAGCAAATCAGAAGCCCAGCAACTTAAAAAAATCACAATCTCAAAGGAAAATCGTGTAACGGCTGCCAGCGGAGAGAAAGCGGCTGTTACTATTATCATTAGCAAGCTATGATTGGTCAATAAAATGAAGCGAGATTTCTCAACGAATCTCAAAGCCGAGTAACTTAAAAACAAAGTAAACGCGGAATCAAGACCTGGGAAGACTTCTTGCCCAGAGGTCAACTGTTTTAAAAGAGGAAGCCGCGAGTAGTGTAGTGAGTTGGTGCGTTAGTTCCCTCCGGACCTAACCAAAACGGAGTTTGTACAAACCTCTGTCACTGATTCCTCCGCGAGCCTTTACAGGAGGGCAGCAGTTGTACACTATTACCTTGGATAAATTGACGTGGAGTTTTTTAGCTGCTTTCTCCAAACTGCAAAGAAAACATGGTTTCAAGAGTTAAACTATAATAGTTTCCCAAATTTCCCATACTATATCTGAGCGGCATTGTTAACGAACAGAAAGGAAAATTTCCATATTGTTTCTAGATTTGCCTTCTCTATCGCTCCTATGTAAATTCTTCGACCTACCCTCCGTACCCACAGTAATAAGTCGTCTTCCCAGATTTCGATAACGATATAATGGAAAATGGCCGCTCCACCGTCGAACGTAAAGACTCCAAGATTTTCAGCGCAAAACAAAAATGATCGGTCTATTCTATTTTCAATTGCTGAGCAATATTTAAATGCGCTTAAAGTACAGTAAACTTAACCCCGGCGATCACAACACAGACACTCACTCTTTAGGGGGAATGTTTCTTTCAAACATGGGGACTCCAAGAGCTTCTGCGATGCCTTCATTTAACACAATAAAAGGATTGGAGGCTTTCAAAACATTTGGACGATTCATGTCGACTTCAGGGGGAACTGAAGAAGTAGAATCTGAAATGCAATGTTTCATTAAAAAAAACTAGTTAATAATAATAATAATGACAACCATAACGATGACAATGACAATGATGATGACAATGGTGGTGGTGGTGATGGTGGTGGTCGTGATGGTGATGATGATGATGATGATGATGATGATGATGATGATGATGATGATGATGAAAAGATCTTCTCTACAAGTGAAAAGTAACTAAGCGATACAAGTTTTAAAACGTCAAGGCATATTGAAAGGAAAAGTCCCCACTTCCGGTTGACGTACGTCTATCTGTAAGGGCTAACAAGAAATGTTTACACTTTACCAGCTGACTTCGTCTTCCAAAACAGCAGAAGACTTGAAAGAGCATCAACGTGTTTGAACAAACTGCTCATATAATCCCATCTCTCTTCCAGGCTCCCTCCAACAGCTGTGGTCACGTGACAAGAGCTTTCTACGCAATCAAATGCCTTCTGTACCTCTACTAGTCCAATTCTCACTGCCAGGCCCCTCTCCGTTTGATCGAACGAAGCTTTTCCGCCAAGACTCCTCTGGGCCTGTGCGTTCTGGGAGACTTCTTCTACGCTTTGAATAAGAGTATCCCCTTCGTCCAATGCTTGCTCCAGTCGCCTGAAAAAAGAAGTGTTGATTAATAACAAACTCAACCAACATGTGGTGTTGCCGCCGCAAATTGAACCCAGGCTGCACTGGATCCTAACCGACGGATTCTTACCATTTTGGATTGCAACTCCGATTGTTAATTTTTATTCGGTCATAAGCACTCTTTCAAATACAATAATCGCAATTATCACGACACCAACTATGTCGCTAGTGAAAACCAGTCTTAAACAGTGAGCTGCTTCCAAGCGGGACACCCTAGGGACCAGCTCTGAAAATATCCAGGACATTATTCACCGCCGTATCAGGAAAGAGCCAGCACACGTCCAGCGTTCCTGTGAGCAAGCTCTAAGTGGGACACCCTTGGGACCAGCTCTGAAAATATTGCCAGGACATTACTTCCCGCTGTATCAGGAAAGAGTCAGGACACTTCGAGCGATCCTGTGAGAAAGCTTCATTTTTAGAGATCGCGAGAGCCGAAACTAACACCCGAGCGGGCTGCGAAAGATCCTTACTTCGCTTTTCTTCCACGCTGCTTGCAACTCCTTTTTTGCCTCTAGCAATCAGTCAAATGGAGATCTCTCTTAGACTACGGTCCAATAAATTTTTCAAGCACACCACAGTAATCAACAGTCATTGAAAATTGCACAAAAACTGGTGATCACCGGTCATAATGCTGATGTATCTTGGTTTAAATAAATTGCAATTATACCTGAACGCTTCTTCTTGATGTGTCCGCAGCTTTTTGTGTGCCTCCATACTCTTTGGACACACGGGATGCGTTCCAACAAGAAGCAACTCCAGAGAATTTCGCTTGTGCGTCATGGAGATCGTGAGACCACTGGACGAGGCCTTAGATCTACCACGTGACTGTTCTTGAGTTAGCAGCTCCTCCAGCTGGTTCATAAATAGCTTGACGCCTGGAAAGGGAGCACTTGACTTGGAAAGAGAGGACGAAGTGTCTAAAATAAGAAGACACGGCTTACTTTTTGCAATTACTGAAGGCTTTAATCATCACGTGTAACCAACATCACGAACATCGTCTTTAAAGGAGGGAAACATTAAGATTCGACAGAAAACAAAACTATTCAGTTTCAGGCTCCATTAGAATTAGAATTAGAATTATGCGCTATCTATTTAAAAAGCTAAAACTGACGTGTCTTCGCATCAGTTGAATCCCAAAAATAATGGTCTATTTTTGTTATTTAGGACCATACTAAGGCATTGAAGCTGTTTCCTGTCGTTTATTGCTATGGATTGCAAGGGTGGACACGGACATCTTACCTTCGGTGAGCCGACTTTTAGCCATCTCCAGCAAGGTCTTACATACTGACCAAGAAACTTCGGCAGTACTGGCCATATCAATACACAGCATCGCGGGAACCATTTGTGGATTTAAATACTTGACCAGTGTTGAATTACCACTCGTCAAGTCCTCAGGGTTAAGGCTAGGATTCACAACAGCTGCTAATGACGGCGTGGTCAATAAATCGTCGATGAGTTTAGAAATTTGTGACGTATAAGAACCAGAGGCTGCTGCCATGGCAACAGCTCCCAGAGCTCCCATAGGTTTGCGAGATCTACTTAGCCCTTGAGACGCCATGATTCGTCTCGCTTTGGGCTGCAAACTCTCTAGATGCTTCACGCTTTTGCTGTACTTCTCTGCAAACACTGCAGCTTGAGCGCTGGGTTTCTGTGCCATGTTGAACATTTTAATGACCTGATGAGCGCGCTCAAAGTTGTCCTTTCTCATGCACATGTAGATGAGGGTGTCTGGGGAAGAGAGCATGCGCGCAATAACACTGTCATCCTTGGTCAACAAGTTAGAAATTTCCGTGGCTGAGGTTCTTGAGGTCAGACGTCGCCTTTTCGTTCGTCTTTTCCTCACTCTTTCTTTGATTTCTTCTGGTTCTGAAAAAATGAACATGTGCTTTGAGGCAGCAACAACAGTGTTATGGTTAGGTGGCATTTATTACCCACACAAACACACGGGACAACATTGCCTAAAATAATGGGTAAAACATGTTTCATTCGACGTGGCTACACGCTGCAACATTTCTTGCGGGTACCAAGCGCAAAAGTCTGAGGTTGTAAGCTAGCGCTTAAACGTGTAAATTCACTGGTTGAGGTTACGTCAGGCCATTGAATGTAATTCCGCTAATGGCAAACTCACGAAACTTATTGCGCACATCTCATGTATGAGAAGTTATAAAGCCTGCTTGGCAGACGATCGAAAGGGGAATATCAGGAGTCAAAACTTGGAAATCGGACAACAGATATCGGGAATCGAAATCGGGAATATTAGGAATCCGAGAACAAGGAACCGATTTTCCCCATTTTTTCCTCATGCAAAACATTTCAAACGCCGACCAAGCAGGTTATAAATCTTACTGCTGCCCAATGTGCGTAAGAATTTTAGGGGTGAACACCTGTTTGGGTTGAGATTTTACCTGTAGTAACCGTGTCCTGGCTGAAATGAGAGCTTGATTCACTGGAATTCTCCTTTGAAGTTGCACCTTTCCTTCTTGACTTTAATTTTCCTTTACAAACAACAAAAAATTTAGTTCAGAGAGCTTCTCTCCTAAGAGGGCCAAAATCAAATCCCATCTATTTATTATTACTGTACCATCTAATGAAAAACAAACGGTACAATTAGAACGTCCCTTAGGATTAACTCCTCAGATACATGACTTAGGCTTGTTAATGGAAGAAATTCCCCATGCGTTGTTTGGCGAATGAATGAATAAATAAATAAATGAATATCCTTTATTTAAACACGATCAGCATTAAAGCACTTAGGGGTCGTGTATACTAGTCTATGATAAAACAAAAAAATATATAAAACATTCTTCTCTAACTAACAGTTAAAATATAAAAAGAGACAGGGGGAGAAGCTATAACCATACATTCTCTTAGATGAAATCCAAAGCGATCATCTTGCCAGTTAATCTTGCCAGCGCAATTGTTTGCTGATCATGCGCATTTCGTCAAAAACCAAAGATCAACAGTTAAACGTGGCGGTCGAAGGCGGGACCATTTAAAACCAACCTCCTCATCAGTGTGACCATTCAAATGAAACCTATCTAGCAAGTTTTTTTTCACATCAAGGTACAATCATATTGCACTGTCTAAACAGGTTCTTACTTTTGAGTCTATGGATGAAAGTCTACGAAGTGACCATTCAAAAGAAAACTCTTCAGCAATAATCTCACATGGTACCATTTCTTTCCCTCAGAAATTTGGAAATTTTCATAAAAATCGTTGCACTGTTTACAGCGATCAAAGCGTTTTATCTCTCAGTTCTCACCGCTAGTGCCTTCTGTCAAAGTGTCATCCGAGTCTTCATCTTGAGCTGCTACTGCTTTCCAGTTCTCGTCTGAGCTCGCTATGCGCTGCAGTTTCCTGTTCATCCTTTTCCTGGAACTCCTAATTATCTGTCGATTGATTCCGTTGTCCCAGGACACCAGCTGGAATCTCCATTGTGCTTCATTGATGAACTGACCGAGTCGGGAGATGCGCTGCTCCATTGAGCTATGGCGAACAGACGTTTGAAGCCATTCTTCGCTCTCTGAGCTTTGTTCCGATCTTCCTACATAGAAACAAAACAGAGGAATTCAGTAACAAAGATTCCAAAAATCATTTAAAATATAGCAGCACCCACACTGACGTCATTAACATCGTTCCCAGGGTTTTCTCCTACCCGTCCCTCTTTCCTCCGTACGGTCGGGTTAGTGAGAACCATGGGAACGAGGTTGTGACGTCACCTATAGATATAAAATGGGCCAACCGGAAGCGCCTTTTTAAAGCGCACTTCAGTTGGTTCTCGAAACAAAAGATTCTTCGTTTCATTCTTTACACATTTGTATAAGAACAGTGAGTATCGCTATACCTGAGAATAAGGGAGACGATCAGGGGAATCTCTGTACGTTTTGTCTGAAACTTTAACTCATCGAAAAATGAAAAGCTTAGGAATGAATCAATCGTAACGGGTCAGAAAATTGACCCCTAAATATCTTTACTTGTTAATCACCAGTCGCAGGTAATCAAAAGACCGGAAAATGAATTAAGGGGTTAAAAATTTGCCCAAAATTGTGATTGATCTTCATTTAAAGTCAACACCTTTTCAAGGGAAACCGGGCTGGGTGTTGCCTAATGTATTAGGGTGAGGAGGTTTCGAACTACATACACTCACAACAAAACAGTCCAGGAGACGTACCTTTCTTGAGTTCAGCAAACTTTGCGGCATTAAGTTCCATCACGCATTCCTTAATTGTCTTCAACACATTGGGAACAACACCATCATCAATCACAAACTCACATTTTAAATCATTTTCATCAGAAACAGCCGTTCGTGACGATCCTTTACTGGAGAGAACAGTATCATTCTCCGATTGTGTTGTTTTAACAGTATCATCTCGAGAAACGGGAGACTCAGCAGCTTTATCATCTCCTGTCGCATCCTTTAATTTTTTAAACAAAATTGAATCTGACTCCGATCTCTTATGTGTAAACAGCTGGCGACGAGATGAGGAATCAACACCAGAAGGGGTGGAAGTTTCTTTTTGTTTGTGCTGAGACTCAGAGGCAGTTGGAAGGGATACTGGGCTCGTTAATTTCTCTTGGTCTTTAGTGGGACTGAACGACCCATGGACGTCAACGGATAGTTCGACAGAGCTCGCAAGACTCTCCCAACTCGCTGTGCGATTGCTGGTTGATAAACTCCGCGTTTCTTCATCCACTGTGTCTAAATCATCGCTCTCATTTTGCTGAGTTCTACCTTCATACAAGTCTTCAAAAGTACCAAATAGGAGACTAAAGATATTCTCTAGAATCTCCACTCGGTAAGTCAAAGGATACACTTGGGCTAAGTGAGCCTTTCCAGCTTCTAGCTTGTTCTCAACTTGTGTAAGATACGTCTTCTCCTCAACCCCTAATTCAGCATCACCACTTGTGACTGATGTTGAACTCTGCGAGCTCTTGTCAAGCGCTTTTCCGTAGAAATCTTCTGCTGAAGACGCAACAGCCTCCATAAAATTCTTTAGTGCACAATAGCTATGGTAGAGAAAGATATCCCTTTGAACTTCAGGATGAATTTCGGAATTTTCTCGCTTCCCACCAAGTCTTTTCGGAAGACCATCACCTCCATCTTGCTTTTTTCCAACAGTTTCTTCCTCTTCGTCTTGCAATTCTTTGCCTGACTCCAAAGGAGTAAATACAGGTCTCTTTCTTAAAAGTTCAAAGACTTCTTTCTCGGGAAGATACGCTAGGCTGACAGACTTGTGCAGGACATGTAATACAGAGTGCGACTCAAGGCCTTGGAACATTTCTGAAGCTTGTTGGTGACGAGTTGATCCCGATTCAGATGACGCCAACAAAGGACTAAAATGGAGAGACAAAAATGATGATATTGCTTACTAATACTTTCTTTGATGGAAATGTGATGGTGAATTTTATGTCTGGTGAATACATGATAAAAATGTTTGTCAGTCAGTGACTCGAGCGGTTCAGAAGAAAACATCCGAGTACTCCAAAGAAGAAGTTTTTCAAAAGCGAAGCTGGGCATGTAATTTCCTGCCAATAAGAATGTTGTACAGCCCTCCCCCCCCCTCCCCCCATCCCCGCTTTGCTCACTTTTAAGAACGTATGAGAGGTCGACTTGTAGCAGGTCTATGTGGATTCCAGTGCTCACTGCTACTTTTCTGCTATGGTCTGAGTGATTAGATACCTGTTTACACTGCCCCAAAGGGTGGCACAAAATCTATCCCATTTGTGACGCACCACTTTGGAGATCGGCGCGGCGCAGCTTCGATCTGTTACAGAAATCACACCGAAATCACCGTTCTTATGTGTAAACAGAAACCCTGTTCAGTATGGTTTTCATACCGGCACTAGACTGCAAAACAGTCGGTTTTTTTCTCAAAATCAGTAAAGAAATCGGTAAAGCGTGGCTTAAGAGTCTTACGCGGGCGAAGCGCGCGAGCCTCACACGCCAGTAGGGCGTGTGACTGTGTTTTCAGCTTCGTTCCAGACCTTCTGTTTGACTGCTCGCGCGTACTTGAATACGCAAAAATACGGACTGTTTTGCAGTCTATACCGGCACAAAAGCTCTCCGATATAATCTAAACATAGCCTTACCGAGCCTTTTCAGTACACCACTGAACAAGTTGAACTTGATAAGCTAGTTTTTGGCAGGCCTGGTGTAGTAAAGGATGAGCTGCCCTTTCCTAAAAACACACAAAAAAAGAACAAAATTTACAAGAATAAATTTTCTTTAAAGAACTATGTAGCGACTAACTGGAATTTTAAGCTGTGCTCTTGTTTGGCTCAAAACCGGCCTCGATTTTTAAATCAGACATTATGTTCACACAATATAACAGGCAGAGTCATAAGTAACTTGAGGCAAGTGAATTTCTTACTGACAGAAAAAGACAAAAAATAATACTAATTAAAGCTTACAGAAGGATTCCATAACGCCTCAAGTAGATTCCTGGCATTTTCACAGCTGTAGCAGTAAGGCCAGCCTAAGAGAAGAACCAGTGGCTTAAGCCTGGAAAATTCCACTGGTGAAAGCAACTGTGTGAGCTGTTCAAAGTCACCTTCTTTAACAAATACAAGGGCTGTTTCCTGAGAATCAAACACAATGGTTAAGATATAGTACATTTAGCACACCAACGCAGGTCTAGGTCTTGCTGAAGGTTTGTGAAGGTTAAATAGAATGAGGCACCTAGAAGTACGGGTTTTCTCCCTCGATGGGTCAGCCAATCCATTGGAGTGTTATCCCACAGGATTTGGATGCCTGCAGTTTAACAGGGTTTTTCCCCTCCCAAAAAGAGACAGAGGTTTACATCACAAGGTTATTTTATTATTATTATTATTTTATTTATTTAGTCACTCACAAAACCTTATACAACATGAATAAAAGTTGTTAATTAAATTATAAAATTAATGTGACAAGGAAGCCTAACGAAGCTTGAAGCTTACATTAATAGGCGTCCTTCAACTACCTAGTGAACTAAATTCATGGCTGAGTGCAGAGTGAACAAGATCAGAAAATTAAGGATGGGATAGGATGCAGTAGGATAAGACAGGATGGGATGCGATGGGATGGGATGGGATGGGATGCGATGGGATGGGATGGGATGGGATGGGATGGAATGAAATGGAATGGGATGGGATGAGGTTAGGATGGGATAGGGTTAGGATGGGATGGGATGGGACAGGATAACAGTCCATCAAAAGGGTATCTCTCTTTCCACAGGGTAGACAGTCAAAAGTGTGTCTCTTCTCCCACAGAATGTGATAGCCATTCATAAAGGGTTGAACCCTAAGAAAATCAGTAACACACTATACTCTGCTTGTCTTTTCTCTCACACAATGTCCTTCAATTATGGGGGCATCCCCTATGAAGAGGATAGAAGTCGGTCTTAGTGCATTTTCCATCTAATGGAAAAGGATAAGAGTTCAACAGAGGGTCATCCCTATGATATACAAAATTAAAAGAAGTTATGTGCTTTAGAGAATCTCTTTAAGTTGGAAAGCAACAGGAACAATAAGTATTATTGAAAGTTAAGGGGATATGATTGTCCTAAAATTTTTAAAGTTGTTTCCTTAGATGTGGTCAAATTAAAATTTGTCCCCTGCTGTCTATCAAAAGAATTTTGTCCCTTTCTATTTTCAAAGGCTATTCATCTTTCTAACATGTATCTTCATAACTTCAACAGATTAAGAAGGCACTTCAAGAAAGAGCAATAATTATACAGTCACTTTTAAAACAATTATCATGATAACATTAACTTAGTCTCACCACTACATTTTCCAAAACATGGTATCCTTCCAGTGCGTGAAAATACAGGTACTGCCAAGCATCTTTCCTGTTCTTCATAAAGGACTGAGCATAACATAACAAACACGCCAGAGAAATGCTCTGTTGCTTGAATCCTTGCATGGCAAACCTAGACAGATGGACTTCAGGAAGGCTCTCAACCGAAAATCTCATTTGATTTTCAATTCTACAGAACTTTTCAATCAAATAAGATGATGGCTGGCTTAGGAGACAAGAATATAAATTTCCCTTGTCAAGGCAACTGTGGTCACGGAATGTGTGGTTTATCAGATTCCGGAACAGTTCATCAAGTTGCGTAGACAAGCTGACCATTTCTAAGCTGGGGTTCATGTACGAAAGCATTTGATAAATAAATTTACACTGTTTTGATTTCAAATCTTGCATGCTTTCCTCTCTGTCATGTAATGCAAACTGCACATCATCACCATCCAACAACTTTAACTGCTCCTTAATGAGATCTAAATAGAGCTGCTGTAACAACTGGTTGTTTTTCAAAAAACCTTTTCCTTTCGAGGTAAGGTCATTGATCACTGCTCGACCAAACTGTGGGTTATCGGAGAGAAGTTGTTTCAAGTAGGAAAGTGTGGAGGAAGGAAGATCTGATACTCCAGAAGCAAACAGATCAGGGTCTCTGTATACAATCTGACTGTGGTAATCATCTATATCCTGTAGTTAAAGGATTAAGAATAAAAATGTAGTCTCAGCATTTTATTAACTCTGACACTTTATTTAACTTTCAGTACCTTCTATAAATTTTTCTGGATCAATCCAGCTTTTCCCAAATTTTTAGCATAGACATCAGTCATCAACATCATAATCAATTGCATAGAATGTAAACCATTTTTGGTCATTCATAAATACAATAAATGATTTTTCATGGTAATAGGAACATATTAGACCACTGTACTTGCAGTCATAACTATAACGTAGCAGTAAGAACAAGTTACTGGTACATGTGACTCCTGATTTATTACTAAATTTCCCCTTTGATTAAAAAGCACATGCAAAGCAAATTGGAAGGAGAATATAGCAGTTCAACCCTTTTGGCTTTAGGTCCTTGGAGTGACCAACATCAATTTTCTCCTACAAGAATCAGCAGATCATCAAGAGTAAAGGTTATGAGAATTACTAAATTGATTAACCCTTTAAGCCCCAATATCTTCATACAAATTCTCCACACTCATCTCTATACATTTCTTCACCGAATTAGTTGGGAGAATATGAAAAATAATCAGAGCATTTTTCCTTTGGTGATCATTTTATCAATTCTCATAACCTCTTCTCTTGATCGCATACTGATAATGTAAGGAGAAAATTGGTGTTTGTCATTCTTGGGACTTTAAGGGTTAACAAAGAGAGAATGCTTTGATCTTTGACCAAATTCTCTCCACTATTCTTAAAAGAAATGCATGGAGATCAGTCTGGAGAATTTGCATGTGGATCTTGGGGCATAAAGGGTTAACTCACTCTACCTCACCTGAATCACATTCTGGGGAGCATTCTGACAAGCAAGATAAAGTAGAAGGCCAAATTCTACTTTTCTCACAACTTGTTCTGGAATTTGATCCTGTAAAAAGTCAAAATAGTCAAACCTCATTTTACTCGGTACATTGTTGCATAAGAACAGAAAAAAATGTCATTAAATAATATACTCACCTCCTCATCAACAAACAAATCCAAATACTCCACCAAACATAGCCATGATAAATGAAAAGGAGAAGGAACAGACTTGGAGCCACAACTGCAATTAATAATTCCCAGCATTGTACATCAAAATAAACATTTCTTTTTTTTTTAAACTGACTCACTCGTCCTATGATTATTTTATTATGGCAGGCAGTTGACACATTAGTAGTGAGATATAGTGGTGAGGGTGGGAGTTGAATCACTAGTTCCATGACTTACTGCACAGCCACTTGTCTTTGCCTACTATCCAAGTCTTCACCCCAAGGATCAGGTTGGGTAGGACCATTCAATTCTAACATCCTTGTTATAGGTCAAAATTACATAACTGGACAATTTGCCCTCCAGACAGGGAGAGGGGAGGGTGGGATATCAGATGGAATGACTCAGGGGCGCAACAAGGGCGTATGGGTTTCAAATAATAATGTAGCTTGTCGTGTGTACATGTAAAAATAGTATAGGTCATAGCATAATCTGTAGTGATATCTGGCATAAATATCACGAGTCATTTTTCGAAATTGTTATACATAATTTCACAAGCTGTTAGGAAAGTGAAAATTGAGACAATTTTGAAATATCACAAGTGGTATTTATGTCAAATATCACGTACAAATTATGCTATTATTTGTTTATACTACTACTCGCAAAAAGTTTGTAATTTTCACAATTAAGCTGAAATACCACTGCTCTAAGCCAATCAGATTGCAGAAATTTCTCATGTAGTAGTATAAAGCCGGTTACCTTGCATGATGCGGCTGATCAATAACCGCTCTCAAAATCTCTTTTAACGGCTTTTTTAGCTGGTTCCTCTTCTCGAATAAGCCCCGCAGACAGACTCGCGTCAATTCCCATTGACCAAGACTCAAATGGTTACAGAATGACGTGAATAGTTGTTCCAAAGATACTTCCTCTTCGCGATCAAACGGGTGAGTAACTAAGGCCTGGTTATTCATCACGGCTACTGGGCTTCACACAGATGATTTACAATATCGCGCCACTTAAACGTGATGCAAAAACAGAGATAGATGAGCGGAGACATGTCCGCCATGTTGTTGTGATTTGTGTATCATTTGACTCGCACGTGACTGGGAACTAGTGTCAGTATCATTTGCGTTCATGTAAGGTGCATTCTTACGTACCCGATACTGCAGTCAAGACGAAACCGAAATGGAGGTTGCAGCTCGATGAAATACGACTTTGCTTAAATTCTACTAGAGGTGAGAAAATTAGTATGATTGGCAGCCGATCTATTTTATTTTTGCAGAAGGTAGCAAGAAAATCAAAATGTGCACATCCCGTGGCATAGTTTTGTCTTGCATTTCTTGAAACGAATCCCGCAGTGCAGGGGGCGTACCAGCCGGATCTAAATACCAACGCTATTGAAGATACCTACACTATTGAAGATGCCTAATTGCATGCCAAAGGCTTTCAGGGTTGACTTCATGCAATACAGTCTACAAGCTTGCAGGGTGTCTATATTGGTAACATACCTGAGGCTGATAGAGGGGGCAAGGAGATAGGGGTTGGAACGGTTGGGGGGGGGGGGGGGGGGGCCCCCAAAAAAAAGGGGGGGGGGGGGGGGGGGGAAAATTAAAAAAAAACCCCAAAGGGGGGCACAGGGGGGGGGGGCCCAAGCAAAAAAAAAAGGGGATTTTTGGGTTACCGGGGGGGGGGCTTTTTTTTCTAACAGTACGTGCTTAGCGAGACCTGCACCCCCGAAAAGCCCCCCCCGCCACTTTTCGTAGGGAGGGGGGGGGGGGGGGGGGGGGGGGGGGGGGGGGGGGGGGGGGGGGGGGGGGGGGGGGGGGGGGGGGTCTCCCATATAAAAGTGACGGGGATGCTGGTCGGAAAATTGAAATTAAACCCTCAAGGGAGACCAATGTGGGTGTGGCTCAAGCATAAACTAAAGGAGATTTCTGTGTCATCAGTGTCAGGGCTTTTTTTACGTACAGTACTAGCTAAGCGATACCTGAATACCTGACAAGCATCCCCGTCACTTTTATGTAGGAGTTCCCCCCCTGGGGGTTGGGATTAATAGGGTAGGTAGGGTATCGACTTCCTTCTATCCTCCTTCCCCGTGCTCCTAAGCTAAAACCCCAATGTGTTAGGTAGTGTATACCAACACCCTGCTACTAGCTTCAAAAGGTGTCTGCTTTATAAATAATTTTTTAAAGTAAATGATCTGAAGTTCAAGATGAATACTTGCTTAGCCACGTTGCCTCCACAGCAAGTGCATGTATATTTTTATCGGTAAAGCACTCACCTCAGAAGGGTGCAACAAAATTGTCCTCCGATAGTCCAGGGTGCCTATTGATTAGTAGGCCTGCTTGATTTCTTTAGGGAAATGATTTTCTAAATTTTCATCTTACCCTGATCAATCTCTAACCCCGACAGTCAACAATACTTTCAAATTTCCTGCAAGGTAAATTATTGCCCCATAAAAGGGAATCCAAGCCAGTTTTGAATCCATATTCCAGGTATTGGATTCCAGTATTTACCAGTGGAACTTGGTTTCTGGCCATGGATTTCAATTGTTAGTGGGATTCCAGATTCCTTGAGCTGTATATTTCTGGATTCCAAAACTCAGGATTCCGGATTCCATAAGCAAAATATCCTGGGATTCCAGATTCCAGAAGCAAACATTTCCCGGATTCCCTTGCGTGGGGTAATAAATTAAATCAGTTGAATACTGTGAAGTAGGAAGCTACAGTGTAGTATTAATTAATGAATTATAGTAATTTTGTGTTTCTCTTATCAGAAGTAATGTAAACAGGTCGTATTCAAGAAAAACCTGGAAAGGATTGTGATCTGGAGTAAAAGGTAGAGGGAACGAGAGAGTGTCTACAATAACACAAATTATGTGACTTGCCAGTGCTTGTGCAGTGTCACATGTGCTTATATCTGCACAATTATAAATGGAAGACAACCTAGTCAGCTTGCGAGAGAGTCATCAGCAATCTACAACTTCATGGAGAAAAAATCCTCACAGACTGCTGACTGTGGAAGTTGTCATCTTTCTCTACATCACTGGTATATTACTAGAAATACCAGTCATTCAACAGTATCTATATTATAAAGCCAAACAAGAACTGAAAATAAATGAGACAAAGGGAAATGATACTGTCTGCAATCCATATTACAAGAACAGCTCAGAATACAGGTAAATACTGTCATTCTTTCAGAATCATCTGATTGTACATTCAAACCCCGCTTTACAGACACCCGCTCAATATGGACACCTCGTTATTATGGACAGATTGCTTTGTCCCTGAAGAAAGCCCTTTCAACCCGCTTAATTATGGACATCTGTTAATGCAGACAACTGACACTTATTTCTTGCCCAATCAACAGATTCTCATAGAAAGCCAACCTTGCTAATGCATACACTTCATTATCAACTGTGTACTGTAACAGACCTTTTCTCTTTGAATGTGAAAAACCTTCAATCGATGCTCCCAACACTACAGTGCACCAGATAGGATGATTTGTATACATCAATTTCAAACTAATTTTGGCATCAAACGATGCCTGCAGAGAACAGTTTTGATTAGTGAGCAATATAATTTAATAGATGAGTGATTGTTGAGTGTTTCTGTTGTAGTTAATTTTTTATCACAGGTAATTTTTATATTTCTTTTGTTTCAACTTCATAATTTAGCACACATTATCATACCCAAAAACAAAAGGAAAACAAAAATTACCTGAGGTTACAAACTAAGTACAACATTTCCATGGATTTAAGCCATGGAATGAAAGCTTTGTAAAGGTTACAGTTGTTTAATTTTATGATGCTTATGTCTTGATTTATTACTTTAGTATTTATTCAAATAAAAGGTGTTTTTTGACCTCAATAACATGACCCGCTTCATAAAGACATTTTTTATGACCCCTTCAGTGTCTAATGGAGTTTGACTTAGCAGTATTTAGAAGAAGGGTGCTCTGGTGGAGAAAGAATGAGGAGGGATATTAGATCTACTGGAGAAAAAGCCAAGGTCTGAGAAGGACAAACGAGATAGAGTTTTTTGGATGGTAAAAAATGATGATACATGAATAACTTACAGTTATTTAAATACTGGAATTTACATCTTTCTGTGAGAGCCTCAAGTGACATTCATGTACTTCTAAATTTCCTTTCTAGCTTCTTCACAAGGGCATTGATAAATGAGTAGATCATCATGTCATCTTACTTTTAACCCTTCTAATAGTGACGAACATCAATTTTCTCCTAACAATAGATAACATTGTCAAGAGATAAAATTATGAGAATTAATAAAATGATCTCCAAAGAGAAACTGCCATGATCTTTTATCAAATTCTCTCAACTAATTCTTAATGGAAATGTATAGAGATCAGTTTGGAGATTTTGCATGTGGATATTGGGGCTTAAAGGGTTAAATACAACTTGTCAACCATAGTATGAATTTTTCAGGCAATTTTACATGTAAGAACTGAGTGATTAAACAGATTACCAAAATTTAAATTCTTTTGCAGTACAGATGAAATGGTACAAAAGAGAGCTTCCCGGTACATTCTTTTGGTGAACATAGCTTTGACTGTTCCAGCCATGTTAACAGCCTGTTTTCTTGGTACTTGGTCTGACGAGAAAGGACGTAAAGGACCCATGATCGTAACATCTATTGGAAGTTCACTGGCTTCATTGACTTTTCTACTTGCCATTTATTGGAATCTTCCTATTTATGTTTTCATGATTGGTAAGTAATGTCTTGGCACAAAATCTTCTCATACTGATTTTCTCATTTATTTTTAATAAAGCCAAAAATCAATCTGTTGCTAAAATTGACTTTCATGACTGTCAAAATAAGAGAAAATTTATACATAATTTTCTTTTTAATCAAACTTGCAAGGTCAAATTGGTTTTATAAAAAGTGCTTAAACTACAAAACAAGAAGTCGATCATAATTTCAAATCCCGCCCAGATCAATAATCATGGTTTTAAAAAGGATCCATCTGGTTAGATCATGCTAGTCTTGTTCTAAGTCCATTCTTATGGTCCTAATCTCCTAGTACCCATTACTGGTAAAGTATCTTTCAAGAACTCCCACCTTGTTCAATTAAAGAGCAAGGGGAATCCCCCTGAGGAAGAGGGTCTCTTTAAGTGGACTTGCCGACGCATAGTGAACAATGAAAGGTTTTTCAGCCTGTCTGTCCTGAAAAGGGTAAAAGGTATACAAGACAGAGATAGAGCATGTATTTTGTCCATTGTTCTGTAAAGCAAAGTATGATAGCATAAATTATATAGTCATAGGAATTTTTAGTTTTGTAGTCTTTCCCTACAAGGATCAGTGTTTCAAACCCTCAGCAACGCCCCTGTAAGGCGTATATAACCCAAACTTTGGTCAATTACCCAACCCTTCACGGGAATCCCCATTGTTGAACTCCAATCATGGATAAGCTGGGCAGGGATCTCACATGGACCCTTGATGGGCATCTCCTTGTCCCAGAAAGCTTAAGATGGAATCCACCAGGACATTGAGTAATTTTGATTTTCAGTGGACAGAAATCCTTCAAATCAAAAAATTTCTTATGGGAGCCTGAAAAAGTGAATGTCAAATTTCACAAAATTACATTTTACACATGAAATTTTCGGAATTTTACCTGTGTTATCACAACTCTTGTAAAATTTGACATTCATTTTTGCAGACTTCCAGGAGAAATTTTCTTTGATGTTACTACAGATGATTTATTACATTTTTAGCCCTTGAAAAATGTAATGAATGTTTGTGTCCACTGAAAATTTAAATTACTCATTTTTCTGGTGGATTCTGCCTTAAAATCAAAATCAAAATTATTACAACCTTATTGTAATCCCATGAATGCATATCATTCCATCTTGCAGCAAGTAGCTTGTCAGGACTTGGTGGATATTACCCTACAATGGTTCTAGCCATCCTAGCATATGTGGCTGACACATCTCAGCCAGACTCCAGAGCAATGAGGCTTGGTATTCTAGAAGCCATTGCTTTTGTTTGCGGAACGGTGGTGTATTTCAGCAGTGGAGTATGGATCAAGAACTATGGCTATGAATCTGTGTATTTAGTAATACTGACAGTACATCTACTCAACCTTGTTTATGTGGTTATTTTCCTGCCTGAATCATTACCTCCAGAACTGAAAAAAAACAATGCCGTCTTCTCTGTTAGTAGCGTCAAGAATATTGTACTGGTTTACTTCAAGAAGAGACCTGGACGTTGGGTTTTATTTATGCTTTTGATTTGCACAGTTCTTGTGTTCTTAGCCTCATTCGTGATACAAACATTGTTAGTTCTGTATGGTAAAAGGGCTCCTCTTTGCTGGGAGTCATCTATTATTGGGTACTTTCTTGGAACATGGCTTTTCTCAAAGGCTATTGGAGCCGTGGTAGGAATCTCACTTTGTTCTCGATTAGGAATCAGCAATTTTGGTGCTATACAGCTGGGAGTTTTCTTCCTTATGGGTAACTTGCTGATGATTGGACTTTCTAGAACCACATTGGAGATGTTTTTATGTAGGTTTGATTTGTTTAATCTTATGAGTTTGTCTTTCTTGTACCTAATAACTTTTTTTATCATTAAGTTTTTTTTATTTTTATTCCATCATGGCTGTTGATGTTTTTTTTTTTCATTTGTAAATAACTAATTAAAATCAAAGTTAAAGCTTCTCTTGATAAATTGAAAACTGAATTAAAGTACATTGCATGGTCCCAACAAGGATTAAGTCAAAGAAAAAAAATGGTGTATTTTTGTTTTAGTGGGTGAAGATTTCTTTTGTATAAAAAGCAGTTGAGTATAAATGGATGATTAATTTATAATTGATTACTGTAACGTCTTTTGACCTTGCAGCCAATGTCCTTGCATTCTTTACTGGAGTTCCACAGCCCTGTATCAGAGCTGAAATGTCCAGACTAGTGAACAAGGAAGAGCAAGGTATCAGGCTCAGTTAACTTTGACAAAAGTCTGCAATTATTTTACTTGACTGACCATGCAGTTTTGGTTGAATGTCCTTAACAGGGACACCAACAGAAATACTCATATAATTATTTTTATTAGAATGTGTGTTTATTGGTTCAGGCTGTGATGAGGCCTCCCCGATAGGTTTTTTGGGATGTGGGATTTGCCTTATTTGAGGACAGGGACACAGGATTGCAAAGCAAAATTAGGAGATTCAGGATTGAACATATGCACCAGGGATGTCAGCTAAGATTTCAAGTTGCCGGGATGTACAACAAGTAGGCAGGGAATCAGACAGCCAGGGATTTCTTTGGGTTATATTTTTCTTCTATTTTCCTTTGAAAGTAGCTGGGGGCCACATTTACAGTAGCTGGGGAACAATCCCAGCCCTCGCCTCTTAATGACAGCTCTGCATATGCACGAGGTGCAGGTTACTGAAAAAAAAATTCATAATCTTCAGGGAGGAAGCTTCCGTCACACATGGTTTTCAGTGAGGTCCTCACATCAGGATATTGGGATTGGGTGAAAATTTGGGTCGGGATGAAATAGCTTGTTTTCAATCTAGGCCGAGTTCTTTGAAGAACATTACTGCTATGACCGGTTTAGTTGCCATGACAACTCAATGTTCTTTTGACAGATAAGCCAGGATTAGTACATAATAATTAACCCATTCGCCCCTGAACCGCCCGTAACCGCCCGTGCGGATCCAGGTCCTTTCTACCCATTGTGACGTCATCAGTTTTAACGGTCAAGGACAACTTTCTTCGCTAACTTGTGTAGAGTGAAAAGATCTTTCAAACCATACCAGAATGAGCACAATTTAGTCAAGGACACCGGAGAAACAAGCAAAAAACCACGTGACATTGACCGGAAAATCTCCATGAAAATCTTGTTCCATTACCCACCTACCTTTCCTTTCGCCTTATCCTAAGATCCTAAAAGCTTTCCTATAAACTCTTCCCACCAAAATGAAGCCTACTAAATGCCCAGCAAGAGAAAAAAAAAATGAGGCAAGAAAAGCGAAAAAAGAAGGGAGGAGAGAAAGCGAAAAGTAAAAGTCAAGACTGCTGTGTCACTTTTAAACCCAAAAACTATCTCGAAATTTTGCTTTCTGCGCATGCCCGAACTTCGCAAGCTGATATTTTGCATCTGGATCAGAAGGCCGCGAAGTGTACGACCTGTAAACCGGTTTCTGGTAACTTTTAGCTCTTTATAGCACGACAGTGACCAGAAAACCACTCGACTAGCTTTAAAACGCGTTTTTCGGCAAAATCTCCAGGAGCGAATGGGTTAAATTTGTCAATAATTTATTCCTGATTAGTAAATAATAATTCAATTTTATAATTTTGTTTAAATCTCAAAACTTTTTTACCATCTCTTTTTCAGGTGCCCTTTTCGCTATTCTTGCATCTCTAGAGAGTCTGTGTAACTTTAGCAGTCAGTTGATCTTCAACCCTTTGTACACATGGACTGTGACAGAACTAACTGGAGAATTTGTTGCTGGAATAACCTTCTTCATTAATGCTGGTCTTCTGCTGATACCTGTGGTTCTTATTGGGTAGGTACAGTTGTGCTGGAGTAAGGTCTAGGGCTTTCAATGCATACGGACGACCAATGAAACAAGTTGGTTACTTTGCTCAGAGAAGTCAGCTACTTTTTCTAGAAAGAACTAAGGAACAACTAGTTTGAAAAACATCGTAAATGAAAGAGGATCATTAAAATAATCTGAATGAACTGGTTTTATGCAATGCTTTAGAAGAATGCTGGAAATCACATTTTAGGGCTTTGAAATTTCAAAATATTCTGGGGAAGCACGTCCCCAGACCCCTAGAAAAAGGGGACTAACAGCCCCTTTAATACTGTTTGGTCAGTGATTTTATTTTTTTAAATCATTTTTTAGGGTAGTCCAGTACCACAGACCTGGCAAACGAAAGGAATTTTCACCATTGGTGGACGATGAAAATCCTGTTTCATGACAGGTTTTTCTGTTAGGGAGTTAAAGGACAATCTTATGGTTAAGTAGTCAAAGCTAGTACCTACTTAAATCACAAAATAAAATTTGTATGGCACTAAAGTTATCAAGAAAATACATTTTTATTTCACCAGCGGTCAAGTGTTGACCTTTCTGATGCTGTAACTAATAAAATATGTCTAGCATGAAAACATGTACAATAAACAATCATGAAAATTACAGTCAGTGTATTATGGCTTTCTATGAAATCTAATATTACAAAAAATTTAACTGCTTTTCATCAAATTTCGTTTTATAGGCCTTTATATCTTCCCATCTTGACGTACACATTGATATTGATTACCAGTTTGCAAAATTATTCCGTACATGACCCATTTATTCATCAACATGTTTACTTATGTTCATTTTTGGCAAAACAAATAAGCGGCATGAATTCAAAGAATAGGTAATTCAGTTTAGTCATTAACCTTGTTCTTCTATTAATGTACCATAAAGTTCCAGAAGTAATGACCCCTCAAAAGTAGGGAACCTCCAAAAGTAGGGATAAAAATAATGTCCCTGGAAATAACAACCCTTCAAAAGTAGAGACCTCAAAACTAATATTCCCTTTTTGCAAAAAAGAAAAACAGATATGATAATTTGATATCCTGAACAAATTAAATGCCACACTAATGCGAGGTTTATTAAAAATGATTATTTGACATTGCTATTCATAACCCTTAATGTACAGGATATACATTTACCTTTTTTGCGATTTTATTTTTTTAAATCATGAATGCCCATGTGGAGTGAACGTTTAAGCCATCCGAAAGTAACAACCCACCGAAAGTAGCGAGCCTGAGAAAGTAACGATAGCAGAAGGGTGCTAAATCCGAAAGTAACGAGGGTTGTTACTTTTGGAACTTAATGGTACTCTGAGGTGCTTATCAGTTCATATTGGCAAGTGGGTGGGCTTACCCAGTGGAAGGTACTTATTAGACAGCACGGGCTCTTAGTCAACGAAAGAGAGTGTATGGTATCCTGCCCTGTGCACTTTCAATACAATTTTTAACTCTGTTTTCTTTTTGCTAAGCCTTTATATACATCCTACTAAACTTAGCCTTCAGCTGGAAAAGTGTCAAATGGGCAGCCGATGCTACACAAAACTTGTTAACAGGCAAAAATCCAAACAAAAGGCAACTTTGGCATTCTTGTTTCCTTATAATTCATCTAAAGTACAATACATGTATGTTCGCTTTCAGTTGTAGTAAATTATTTATAGTTTCATTTGCTCTCTGATGTATTTAATCCTTTGCGTCACCCACTCCATCGGCATTTATTGCAAACATGGCCTCTGCTTCTGGGAGGCACGGCGAATCATAGATCTTGCAGATTCTTGTTTCTCCTCTTCCTTTACGTAAGTACAACCTGAAAACAATACATTACGAATTAAGAGGTTTTTTGAATAATTCGTTGTTGTCATTGATCTGGGAAATAAAAACATGAACAGAATATATAGAGAGAGTAGCACTATAAACTCTGTTACAATTATTTATTTCTTTTTTCAGTTTATAAATATCAATATCCAATGTTTCTCCTTATTTCCATTTGTGTTTGTGCCATCAACATACAATTTTGTATTTTTATTCTTTTGAAACCAAAGAAAGGTTTTGTGCTTCCAAAACTTTTTAAAGACTATAATAATAGAACAAGTATGCTGTTTAGGGCTGTCATTAGTAGCCAGCTGCTGGTTTTTTTTAGCCGACTACTTCAGTGAAATCAGCTGGCAACTCTAAGTTTGAAAATAAGTCAAATATAGGAGGATTTGTTAGATGAATGACCAGCTACTTTCTTTTTTAATTTAATGACAGCCCTGAGGTGGCTGTGACAAATTCTCCATGGGAGGTATCAAATACTGTAATTAATAATCACAGGGTACCTTGTACTGGTTGAAACTGTATGTGTACATCATACATGCGCAATATGCTTACCTTGTTGTAGAGGCATGAGCCATAATGTTGCCACCAATTGGCTTTTTAGGATCTGCTTGAAACATAGATGCTCCATCCACCTGAGCTACCACTTGGTTTGTTATAACTACAGCAACACCAAACTGACCAAAAAGTGAATTTTTAGTTTATATTCTTTAGTCCATGAAATTTTTTTGGATATTATGCGTGCGATTATTAAAGGCAACCTGCATGTTCTAGTTGGTCTAAGATCATGTAATGACCCACTGTCATAACTCTGCATGAGATGATTATACCCTGTAGCATAAACTGAACAAGCTGCATTGGAAATTATTTGACGACGGAAGAGGAAATGAATACAATGTACAGTTAACAGGTACTTAATGTAGTTTAGTAAGCATACATGTAGGTATTCACCCAAATCAGATTGCAGATTGCATTTAAGATTGAAGATTAACATATTGTATTTTATCAGCCAAGTCTTTACCGCTTCTTACCTCATCTGCAAGTTTAAGAAGGGTCCTCAAAAACCGTGCCAGGTGCATCTGACGAGCTGAGAGTTCTCCTCTTCCTGAGTAGTCTGTACGATATAATGCTGTTGCACTGTCCACTATCAAGAGAGCATATCTGACAAGATGGAACAATATCATATGTAATGGTTAACACAGCCACTGGCAAAACCTGTTGGATAGGACTAGGTCAGATAAACCCCTGTAACTCCATCCCTAACTTGTTATTAATTTTAGTGAGTTACTGTGATGGTTACAATTCAGCCTTTTTCTGGCACTTGGTTTACAGCCTATTTTTTAAAAAAATTACATAACAATAATACCAATAGTGTATTAAAACTTAATAATATTTAATTTACTATAATCTTACAAATAGTGACATTTTTATTTGTATATACATGTACTTGAAAAGACATTATAATACTATTACATTTTATTATATTTAAATGCTACCCTTTTATTGATCTTGTACAAATGTATTACAATTTCATTAAATATATTGAATTATTGTATTATGCAGTTAAATGCAATTTAGAAAGTCAGAACTCAACAATACAATAAAACAGTTATTATTACATATTATGTAAAGCGCTTTTGGACCATTGGGAATGAGCGCACTATAATATTGTATTATTATTATTATCATTATTATTATTAAAAATAATAATATGTTATATATTATGCTAGTACTATTGAATTATTATATTGATCAATACATTCAGATAATGTACCTTGACTCAGCCAACATGGCAGCTGCATTTAGCAAGAGCTGTGATTGGTGGTCTGAATTATAGGCTCGAGCATAAGCTACATTGTCAAGCACTTCTTCGCCTCTCAACCCATACCTGAAGGACAGTGAGTAAGACAAAAACAATCATTTCAGAGTCCCTACCATTTATTATCATCGTTGTATGTGTAAGTCAATGCATGCACAAACACTCTGTACATGTCTGGATTTATTTGATATTGTAGTGTAGGGGACTTTCATTCTTTAGTACATGTATCAACAAGAATATTACTGTAAAATCACTATAAAGTTCTACATACAGTCAACTCCATTNTGCATGCACAAACACTCTGTACATGTCTGGATTTATTTGATATTGTAGTGTAGGGGACTTTCATTCTTTAGTACATGTATCAACAAGAATATTACTGTAAAATCACTATAAAGTTCTACATACAGTCAACTCCATTTATTGAGGACACTGTAGGGACCTTAAGGTAGTGTTCTCATCAGTGAGAGTCCATAATAGTGGGAGTTTATTCCAGTCAAACGTCTGTAATTTGTCTTCGCCGGAGATTTAGCTGCTGTCCGTTTTATTGGGGGTCCTTTATAGCGGGGTGTCCGCGAGGCAAGAGTTGACTGTACAGTGTACTTAGATGTCTGTTTTAGTCCACTGTATATTGTTACCTATCAGCTACAGCTACCAGTCTCTCAGGTCTGAATGTTCCTTCTGTGTCAATATACATACATTTACCCTCTGCTCCACCATACTCAACAGGAAGCTACAAAATCAAATCCAAATATTGCAATATATTTATTATACAAGGATGTGTACTTGTTTGCTGATCCCCTCATTGAGGTATACGCCTCTGATCTTTCAAACTAATAAAAAACTGCATTTCTTCATAAACAAAATGGAAAACCATTGTCATAATAAAAAAATTTTGGTTGCTATGATTACGAGAATACAATCATGTGCAGTACACAGTACGACAATGTGATGGCCATTTAAATGGAATTTTTTTTCCAGTTCCTATTCAAAAATAACCTAAAATCCTAGTCCTAAAAGTGCCATTTTTATGTAGTTATCTATTCAACACAAGGAAGGCAAGAACAAAACATTTTGGATGACATCACAGACCAGCATATCCCACACCTCATAGCATTACCTATGGCCTACGTATAGCCGCACCCTCCCCCCAACAAATGAAAAATGGAGTGAGGGAGCGTCACTCCCTCTCTCTGTTTTTCCTTTGTCGGGGGGTGGGTGCTACACTAGGCTACATTACCTAAGGTATTACATGTACATGTATGTTACCTTCTAGAGCCTATCACAAGATGTTTATTAAAGGCAGAAGCATATATGCCTCTGTTAAGGTTACTGTTAATCTTCCAAATATGCTCATACAATAAATTAGTTAGGCAAAATTCTAAGGGGTATTGCAACCTTTGCTACCATGGTAACAGCTGAGGTGTACATGTATGCCACTGTTAATCTTAAAAATGTTATACCTGGCACGTTACTGCCATAGTATGACAGAGCTGTGTTTTTCCAGTACGAAACTCTCCAAAAATTTCTGTTATGCTTCCTGTTTCAATGCCACCTGCAGATCAAATCCATACATTTTTAAGTAGAATTTTATTGTCACCAAAGGGCAAAAAAAAGAGTCAGCATGGGCAGGGCATGTTGGAAGTGCTTTCTGATAGCCTAGGGCTAGTAAGCAACCTGTCAGGCTAGGCTTTTATTTTAAGTAGCCCAACAGGCACGCAACCTTTGCCTTGAAAAATTAAATGTCAGTGAAAAGGGGGACTGGTAGGAAAGCTGCATGGCTCCAGGGCTAGGAAACTTCAGCACAGCTTTTCTGAAAGGCAAGCAGTAATTTTTTTTAATTTTCATCTCACTCTGATGGGCCACTGGGAAGTGCTACAGCATAGCTCTGTTGTCTGCGAGATGGTTTCTATTATATCTCCAGTAAGAATTATTTCTTCAAAATCTTCAATACCTAGCACAGTACAATGACTATCAAAATAATTGTCAAAGGAAGTCATGTATTTCACGTAGCTTACCAGCATACATTTACAATGTAGCCACCTGCCATCATTCTCACTAACTACAGCTATTGGGACTTTCCACACTGTTGGCAGGTAGGAGCAATGAGATGTCCCATGCTACTTGTACACTAATTTTCATTCAACAACATTGCTTGTCAACCTATTTCTCAACTAAGGTATCAGACACCCTGTATTGTGTTTTGATGTTTCAAAAGTGTTAAATGTGTATTACTTCTACTAAGATATGAAATCATCTTACCTTGCATAAGTTTATCCAACTCTTTTGAGCCTGTTGTTACCATGAGGAGTTCTTTTCGTCGTGTGTGGAATTCAGTGGCAGTAGTGAAACCCATCGGTACAAGTTTAAAAGACTCATTGAGCACTTTATCTGCTTTTGCCTCGCTTATTCCTTTTATAGCAAGCAGGGCTTTTTTCGGTGTATACGCTACTGATTCTATGGTATGGAAACCTGCTTCTTGTAACTTTTTAACATCTGTAGCACTAATTCCATGTTCCTGATGTCAAATAAAATAAAGCAGAAATTACTAAAACTTGTTAGACTCCCATGATGGATATGGGACACTGTGTAACAGAGGGACATTCCATTTTATTCCTCCCTCCACCCTTCTTTGAAGAGCAGATTCCTGCCAACTAACCTCTTTGTTCGAACCCTTTGAAAGTGATTTTTGTGGTGGATAGTCGTTGGTGCTATCCATATTTTGAGCAACCAGGGTCAGTAGAAGACCAGCAATCATAGGGCTTTGTTTACAAGGGTACCTTTCATGTTAGTTAAAACCATGACTGGTCTTTTGAATCTTTAACCCTGGCTTATGACGCTGCTGTAAATATACAACCCAATAGCCAATCAAAAATTTGCTGGTTCAAGGATCACCATTGCTGCTGCTTAACATCCAGCATTCAATAAAGATAAATCATCTATTCACGTTCTAACACCGTCGAAAAACCAATTTTTTGCAACAGTGTTTGAGCATTCAGCCAGGTGACAGAGCAGACATTCCTGTTTGCCTCTGGCTGCAAGAAAGTAACTTGGAATGATGTTTTGTTAATTATCAGTACGCTTAATTATGCAACGCGGTTCTTAAATAAGAAAATACGCAGTTCGTAGAGTTTCCTTCTGCCTTGATTAAGATTTTCTTTTCGAACTTTTATCCTTAAAAAGATATAAGATATAATCTCCCCTCTTTTGGTGCAGTACATTAGTTTTAGCTTATCGTGTTACCTCAAGTTTGTTGATGGGCAATGGTCCCACATTTTCTTCCATCGACTCGTCATGTTCAACTTGCTCTTGTTGTCTTTCCCGCTGCATTTTAGTTCTTTTGAAACCTTTGCCTGCTTCCCTTTGCCCAAAATTAAAACAGCAAAAAAGAAAACAAATTTCTGTCGCAAAAGCTAATGTGGCAGACTTTTTCTTCGCTTTCTGCTGAAAAAATTCAAGTTTTCGCGCAAGGAATCTTCCAAGCGACTCCTGCAAACTTGGCGGAAAAGATTTGAACGAAAGCGGGAAGCTAAATAGCTTTGTGTAGGGTACACAAACTGTCCACGCATGTTATCACATGACTAAAAAACTTCTGTGCGTATTAAGTTTTTTTGAGAAACATCGAGGTTTTATTTTTTGCTTTTGTTTGTTTGTTTGTTTTTTTAATTAATTTTAAAAGGAAATCTTTCTGCACAATTGTACACGGCAAATTAAGAAAAAACGATCACTTCCGAAGCTTTAACGAACACATACGACAACCTCCGACAACCCGTGACTGTAATCAGAGATGACGTATGCTCTCAACAAACTGGGAGGTTACCAAGCATTACTGAGTCAGGCGATGTTTTGAAGAGAAAGGAGGTTTTTTGTGTGATGTAAATCGGCGGTGATTTCTTTTACGCTTCACTTGGTTGTGACAAGGCAAAAGATGGGTTGAGACGAGGCAGAGAAATTGTACGTTATTCAGCGTCAAGAACTAAAATGAATCACGACGGATCAAAGGGATCAACATCGAGATATTATTTATTAAAACTACCGGATCAAGTCGACAGATATCTTACTATTCATTGATTTGGATTCACTGATACAATATGCTACGATTCTTGGATCCGAATGAGTCAAAACCATGGCAAAGCTGTACAATTTGCAGTGATAAGATATTTTTCAGAACGCCGAAAGAGTTCAGTAGTCATTTGAGACAAGTGCATTGTACGAAAGAGGGAGGATCGTTCGTTTGTCGTTATGGAAGGAATGGCGTTTGCCCTTCTCTACCTGTGGAGGGTGTTAGCGATAACGATTACGAAGCACATGTGAAGAAAAATCACATCAAGCTGGAGGAAAGTAAGGGTAAACTTTAAAAACGTATTTGTAGTATAAAAAATGAGTTTGAGAGCTCCCCAGGGGTTGGGGCTGGCTCAAAGAAGGCCAAGCTCTTGGGAAGTGGGACTGGAGTGGGTGGGGGTGTGAGGCGGACCAATTTCAATTTTCTCCTGACAATATCTTTACAAGTGCATGATCAAGGGTAAAATGTCATGGGAATTATTAAACTGATCACTTAAAGGAGAAATACTTTAGCCTTTGATGTTTACCAATACACATGTATTATGTTATAGCAAAATCAGAAAGTAACGCTACTGCTGGAGATGACACACTTTATCCAAGACCACGGTTGCCTCCGATTTCTTTTCCTAATGCATCCTCGTTCACTGTTTATTCATCTACCCAAAACCTCCCTGCAATCCTTAATGATCCTCGGCTACTTAAACGCCAGACAGACTTCTTCACGAAGACATGGGGAGAGGATTTTGTACCACAAGAAGTTCCATCACTCACACTGCTTCCTAACATTCCAAAGATTTACTTTGATGACTACTTGAAGAAAATTGAGTTTGTGAGTTGTTTTGTTTACTTCATTTTTACTATATAAACATATCACATTACTGTCCTTATAAATAATCACAAAACTGTTCAGGTTAATATACTTTTAAGCAAAAAACTACCCAACATTTTTCCTGGATCTGTCTTGACAACACAGAACACTCTTCTATTAAAAGACAAAACGAAAGGACCGAAATAGGGAAGGAGAGGACTGTAAAAGGAGAGGACTGTAAAACTGTAAAAGTTTACAGGCAAAGAAGAGGAAAGAAGGAAAAAGAGAAACGAGAGAACTTAATGTAAAATTAGCCAAAGCATACTACTACAAGGGAAAAAGAGTAATCAGACTATTACGCTATTATGAAGTAAAAAGGAAAAAAGAAGGAAACACATCCCATAACGTGCACCATATGTGGCAAAGAGGTTTAATAGAATTGTCACTCCATAGGATTTTGACCACAGACTCAACAGTTGGAACAGCCCTTATTAGTTCTCAGAGAAGGAAAAGAGTGGAATCTCAGAACATGTAGCAAAAACTACATGTACATGTACATAGACTGTATTCATTTTCTTATCACCTCATTTTTCAGAGACTGAAAGTTCACAACAAACTCAGAAAGCAATCTATTAGTGGTAGCTCAACAGCTGCGCCAGGTGACACTGGATTTACAGCAGCTGCTATTGCCGCTGCTAAAAGACAAAGTAGTGGTTAGTGTTGTTAGAATTTTCATCACCCATATCTATTTAAAAGTTACAAGTTCAGCAAACAAGCCTGTCTGTTGGGGTATTAATTCTGTTCAATAACTCAACTCTTGGATTGTTGGTCAACCACCTTTCCTCAATGGCAATGTTATCATTTTTTCCTGTTGTTTGTTGAAACAATTTTGCAATTTGAAATATTATATAATTTACCCAAGTAAAATTGATTATCAATCAATTAAACCCAAGTGGGGCTTGAACTGCCACAGTGTTACATTAGATACCATTCTTTCAACGTCTGTCAAGACCATTATTATAACCTTGCTCCCTTTCTCTGACTGACTTTTGGGCAGTTGTTAGGATAATCCCAACCAAGGGTTTTATCTTGATAAGTGTTTTTTCTCTTTATGATAATTTCATTAGTATTATTTTTTGAAGTCACCCTATCAGTTGGCTTATTTCTTCTCTTTCTCTACTTTGCAGTTGACAAAGTTGCATCTGATGTGAGCTTAATACCAAAGGTGGGTTGTGTGATTACCTTTCTCTGACATTTTACGGGCCTCCTTGCTGACTTACACAAGCTTCTGTGATACACATAATTATTTCTAGTTTTGACTTATGTGTATTTTGTTGGTCAAATGAAATTCATGTTGAAATACATGTAGTTTCAATCTAGGTTGAATCTCAATTTCCCTCATATCCTACCTTAATATTATTATTCATGAATTAGGGCTGAATTAGGGAAACTGAAGTTCAACCTACAAGCCAAAATTTAAATTGAAGCCCAATTTCTTGTCCTTATGGGATTACTGTACTTTGGATGAGATGACTCTCTTTTTTGCTGAACCCTCACAATATTTACTATTTACCAACTGTGCAAAGTCCTTTCTAAATTTTGTTTCAGGAACAGTGCAGTGCTAATAAACCATGATTACCAGTATGAATCATGGATTGCAGTTTCTCTAAATTTATAGTTAGACTGAAAGTATTATTATTTTGTGCTTGTTCAGGTTTTTATGCAGAGCAATTTTGCACTTGAGGATCCTGAGATTTTCAACCATGTTCTTCCCTGGAACATGGTAACGCAGGAAACGAAAGAAGGAATGAGGGAAGCACCCAGAAATTCAGCTAAACTTCTTCAGGAAAAGGTATGAATATTTATTATGAATCTGGGTATGTTTCTCTCTCGTGAGCCAGGAGTGGGAAAAATGTCAGCAGGAAAGCTTAATAGAAGACATTACTGTGAGACAAAAATAATAATTTATAATGTATGATCTCAATATTGACAGATTATAAAATATTATAAAACTCAGTTACCATCCCTGTCTGTCATTGCATTGATAGTAATTCCTGATATACTGTACCATTTGGAGGGGCCTTACCCTTTTTTTCCCTTGGGCTGAGGTGGTTAAGATTAACTGTAAACAGAGGGCTTCCACTTGCTCTGATCAACCCTCAATCAACTCCAATACTTTTTTCAGTATGCCAGGGACCATTGTTAATGGGACTGTTTAATTTTGCATCTTCCCTCTGCAGTTGTCACATTACCTTGATATCACCGAAGTGAACCTCGCGCATCAAATCTCACTCAGGTCAGAAGATTTTTTCAGTGCCATGGCATCACAAGATCAGCTTCAAGATCATGGCTCAAAGAAGGCCAAGCTCTTGGGAAGTGGGACTGGAGTGGGTGGGGGTGTGAGGCGGACCAATTTCAATTTTCTCCTGACAATATCTTTACAAGTGCATGATCAAGGGTAAAATGTCATGGGAATTATTAAACTGATCACTTAAAGGAGAAATACTTTAGCCTTTGATGTTTACCAATACACATGTATTATGTTATAGCAAAATCAGAAAGTAACGCTACTGCTGGAGATGACACACTTTATCCAAGACCACGGTTGCCTCCGATTTCTTTTCCTAATGCATCCTCGTTCACTGTTTATTCATCTACCCAAAACCTCCCTGCAATCCTTAATGATCCTCGGCTACTTAAACGCCAGACAGACTTCTTCACGAAGACATGGGGAGAGGATTTTGTACCACAAGAAGTTCCATCACTCACACTGCTTCCTAACATTCCAAAGATTTACTTTGATGACTACTTGAAGAAAATTGAGTTTGTGAGTTGTTTTGTTTACTTCATTTTTACTATATAAACATATCACATTACTGTCCTTATAAATAATCACAAAACTGTTCAGGTTAATATACTTTTAAGCAAAAAACTACCCAACATTTTTCCTGGATCTGTCTTGACAACACAGAACACTCTTCTATTAAAAGACAAAACGAAAGGACCGAAATAGGGAAGGAGAGGACTGTAAAAGGAGAGGACTGTAAAACTGTAAAAGTTTACAGGCAAAGAAGAGGAAAGAAGGAAAAAGAGAAACGAGAGAACTTAATGTAAAATTAGCCAAAGCATACTACTACAAGGGAAAAAGAGTAATCAGACTATTACGCTATTATGAAGTAAAAAGGAAAAAAGAAGGAAACACATCCCATAACGTGCACCATATGTGGCAAAGAGGTTTAATAGAATTGTCACTCCATAGGATTTTGACCACAGACTCAACAGTTGGAACAGCCCTTATTAGTTCTCAGAGAAGGAAAAGAGTGGAATCTCAGAACATGTAGCAAAAACTACATGTACATGTACATAGACTGTATTCATTTTCTTATCACCTCATTTTTCAGAGACTGAAAGTTCACAACAAACTCAGAAAGCAATCTATTAGTGGTAGCTCAACAGCTGCGCCAGGTGACACTGGATTTACAGCAGCTGCTAT